TGCAGAGACTGTTGGTTAGCGCCCCCTTCAATGGCACTTTCCTTTTACTAAACATAACAGTACCAACTTGATAATGGTGCTGCATCGATGAACAAGATTAGGTACCACTTCAAGCGATAATTTCTCTGCTACAATAATCTGTCTTCCTCCCTCTTGGCCTCGGCCATAGCAGCCATCTGTCCGTTTCCAAACACCGTCAGTGTCACTTCAACGAAGACGGCGAGAGAGAATAGCAACAATGACAGGATGCCAGGGGAAGTCGCCTGAGCCCGGCCAGGCTGCCGGGAAAGTAGCGGCAAAGATGAAATGAAAACACAGGATATGAAGAGACCTGTTAAAGGATGGATTGTCAGCCTACTTTTTGTGACAAGTATTCAGCATTCTTGAAGGTCGTGTAATACCTCACTGTATGAGCCTCTAGGAGGGGACCTCGTTAGATATGAAGAGATTGAAGTTTTCACCTCGTTAGATATGAAGAGATTGAAGTTTCATCTATTGTCGCGTCTGAAAAGAAATTCAGGGCTTGAGGGCTGTTTACCTCTTGTTGGGGTATTGTGACAAAAGACAACTGACATGGTATCTGCAATGATATTTAGAGAAACGTGAAACTGAAATGTGCAAAACTTTTTGAAAACAAACTGCAGAAAATGAATACAATATAAAAGATTTGGACCCAATCAGCAGCTGTATCTGTAAATAAAAGAAATGCGGTCCATCACAGCATCAATCAATTGATTGATAGAAGATTAATCAGAGTGGGGGAGCTTGTGAGTGTGAGAGCAACCACAACCCTCATCTCAGTCTCCAAAAACCCTATGGATCAAGTGGCCATTCAATAAACTGTAGTTTTTAGCAGTGGATAACGCAGTGAGAAAAGTCTATTTATGAGCCTTAAACGAGGATCCTGTCACCACGCTTAATATTCATGTCTTAGTTCAGAATCATCTTACTCGGGAGAAAAAACACAGGGGTGGGTGTTAGATCTCACAGGTGCTTTGGGGTTTTTGCAGAAGCATGTGAGAAATCCTCCAGGCCATAATTAGAGGGAAAAGCATCAGGCACCCTGGCCTCCTCCACTCGACCTCTGGAATAGGAAGACACACTAAACCAGCTGAATTCTAAAATGCATCTTTTCTGCTCTGTTTTGCCCTATGAGGAGAAACGCCATCTTCACATTTACAAACAGATATGCAGATAAACCGTACTGTCGGCAAGATGAACAGCTTCTTTCTTGTGCCCTATTACCTGCTAACCTAGAATATGCCGAGGGGACAAAGTGTCTGCATTTAAAGGATTTGTGGGTTTGCTGATAACTGTGTTGCAGATCATAAAACCTGTGCCATATAGTACATATCTACAAACTTGCATAAAACATTTACAAATGACAAGACTATAATAAACATAATAAGGCCACGAAAATATCAGTATGAGTAAAGTAGATCGATGATATCAAGTGACAAAGATATTTCTTCACAGGATATTTTATGATTTTTTGTCAGATAGAATTCTGGCTTTCTGCTAATTTGGGGATATGTTGTGGCAATATCTGGTAACAGATCACCAAAAAAGGACAACATGAGCTTGTGAGTGGTAAGCAAAATATGTATGAAGTGTGAAAATAGTAGAACCACAAATTGGAGGCTCACAATCTAATTTGACATAAATGTACTAATAGTACAAAAAACCCTGAGAATGTAAAAAAAAAGTTCATGACTGCAACACCAACAAATAATGAAACTCATGTAGCGTATAATTGTCACTTCAGTATAAACTTTAGTTGCTACAGTTTTGACGGATTGAACCAATTTATTGATTTACCGCAGCCTAAACAAAGTCACAAGTGTGCAGTAAATACCAGCAGAGGTAATATTCTGACCTGTCCCCGATAAGACTTTTAAGGATGTTTGGTTAATGTTAATGATTAATCAAATAGATTTAAAAGGAGTTAAATAAGAATGAGCATCACTACTTTTGTTTTTGTCATGATATACTCTTTAGGTTAGTCAAGAAAGCAGCCGTGTTAAAATGTTGGAAACGCCACCTCAATAAATGTCCCCAAAAGATACAACAACAGCAGCAGCAACTTCTCCAACGCTACACTCAGGCATTGAAAACAGAGGGTTGTGGTGATGAACACAACCAGGCGCCTGAAGGCCAGAACCAAAGTAAAGTAACTTACTATTATCAGTATCTGACAGCAGTGGAGTCTGAGACGGATATCTGACCAATTTGAGCGTGAATAAATGAACGTTTCGGCCAAGCATGATCATCTGTTTGCTTTTGTTTGTGTCACCTGGAAAATAACTGCGCGGAGTGGAGTCGACCAAACACACTATGTGCAGAACTGGTTGGGGTTGATGTTACACACGTGAAGACATTGCAAAGAATGCCGTGACTTCTAAACCCTGAATGTCACGACACTATCAATGATCTCGACTTCACAAGACGTGCAAGTCAATTAGGTCAGCATTGAAAACATTAAGAGAAAATAGATCTCGGTTTTCTGTTTTAAAGGGATTAGAGTCCAGAGTCCGTCTATTGTCTCAATTGTTTCTTGTTCTCCTGAGTTTGTACCCTATGGTTGAATGCACTTATTGTACGTCGCTTTGGATAAAAGCGTCCGCTAAATGACATATAATGTAATGTAATGTATTGTAATGTAATGTCTCATTTATGACGGATCAGTCACACTCGCAAAACTACTATTGCAACAACACATTTATGAACTCTGAATACACTTGTCCAAATTTTTCCCTCCATGTTATATTTTCTTTCATCATCAAATATCAACAACCTTTCAAGGCAATCAAGTTATTTTAAACGCATGCCGCTAAGTTTGCTTAACAAAGCAGAGTCAATATAAATAGAGTGCTATTTAAGCCCAGGTTTACACACAGGGCAGCCAGGGGGTTAATGATTGACCGGGCTTTGGTCGGTGTCAATATAAAAAAAGATTTAAACTAAACTATGTCAAGATCTGCGGTCTTGCAATTGTTAACCGAGCTCGATAGAACTTACGGGAAAGACATAATGTTCTTCACCTTTGATGTGAAACTGGTGGGAAAACATTTTATGATGCATGTTGACCCGCCGTCCTTTACCGACCACAAAAGGTGGTATAACTAGCATTCCTGTCCTGAGTGCCATTGTCACACCTTTTCCTTGATATTCCCTGAACTATTGGCGTCTTATAAATATGTTCTCCTTCATTGTGTTTAAGCTGATCAAAATAGACTTCTAAAAAAAGTATGACTTGTCAATACGGACTTTGAAAAGTTAAAGTAATTGGATCTTTTATTTTATACCTAAAAGGACAATCCCACTGATGGGGGAGAGTTGGCTGTGTTGGCAAGATGCAAAACCAACTTCAATTTTCACACACAGTGGAGTTGGGAAATACACAATAGCTTGATTAGTAAGTAAACAAGGCCGGTGTGCTAAAGAAGGGGTTACTATTGGTTGAGATCTCAAAGTAATCTCTGCTTATTTATTCCGTGCACATGAAATGATTAAAGTGCACAGTGTGACAGGCTTCCTGATGAGTCACAGGCAAAACCGAATCCATCAATCAATAATGTGAGTTGCAGGTATATTGATATCCACAGATGAGTCAGTCAAGGAAGAACAATACGCGGAGGTATGTAAATGCCAAAGATTTGTTAAGCTCATTTCTCAACTGCTCAGTACCTTGGTCCCAAATCCTAGCTGATTATATAACCGATTGTGTTGTACATTTAACTTTTTCAGTTTTTTTGTGATTTACTTATCTATTATTCCTTTATACTTTTATGGTAACTGTTAGTAAAATGTGTATCTTTTGGTTTTCCGTTTTACACAGAGGCCTCTGGTTGAAAAGCCCACGATGTTGCTGGAATCCTACACATTTCCCCACAGTGGGAGTAGCACAGGACTGTCTTATATTGTGTAACTTCATTTAAAAGCCATGCTATGCAGGATTTTCCTTAAAAAAGCAATGCATAGACCCAGAAAAGTGATCCCTCTTGATCATCACAGACTAATTAAGTGTGTGGCGCTGCCCGTATCTACCTTCCCCTGTACCTCATTATTATTGTGCTGTGTTGGAGACATTTCTGACTCCAGCTTTTGTGCAATGGTTGTATCGCCTGCCCAAAAAAAGGTAAACACAAAAAAGGGGAATATAACAGCTCAAAACGCCAAGAGGACCAAGCTCTTCCAAATCGGGAGTGGCTCTAAATTGCAGAGGAGGGGCTCTTTGAATGTTGTGTTTACAAACAGTAAAGAACAACTCCTGCCATTTATGCATGTATGGGCTCATTCTAACATGTTTGTTTATGTTTACTTTCTATTTAATGAAAAACAAAAAGCATTTGAGTAATTAGCTAGCTTTGTCATTGAGTGCGCTAAAAGCTTGGACAGCGGGCTTCAACCTTTTTGGTTGTACTCTTTTACCAAGCCTCTAACCAAAAAAGGTTTGGTTATTGTTTGTTAACAAAAAGGTTTTAATAGATGCTTGTGACAAATTATTATTATTATTTTCTAGAATATCTCCGCAGAGGAGTCTTTAGTAGATGAACTCTTGCGTATTAGGATCTTTTCTGGGAATAAATATGCCATAACCTTTTTATTTAGGCAGTGTGGGGATCCGGGGCCCACTAGGGGCGAGTCTTCACATGGAGTCTAACATGTGGCCTTCACCAACAAACCAGAGGAAATAGACTGCGCTGCTTTTCAGCTTGCATGGGGAAAGAAAGTAAACAGGTTGGACCGGAACACATGAAGCTGCTGAAAGACCCCCCCCGCCTCCAAAAAAAAAATAGCACATGTTAGAAGAAAACAGGCGTCTTTGTAGCGAAATATTACAAACTTAACTGTATTATTATCAAACTTGGGGCATACGGTAGTTTAAAGTTGTGTGAAACCGAGGGAGCTGTTGTTTCCGCACAAACACACACACGCTTTTTCACAAATTACAACTTGAGTAGAAACGACAGCGACAACACATGAATGGGAGTAATTACCTTTAGAGTAGAAGGATTTGGGAGGACTCAGGTCGAGGTCCCCGCTGAAAAGGGTGATAAAGTCAGAGGGCATCGCAAACCCTCCGAGTGAGGAAACCGGACACTCTCGAGTCAGTCGGTCGCGTCGCCGAGCGACGTTTCTCTCTCCGACTGCCAGAAAGCCTTCGACCTGGCGTTCAGCAGACTGGCGGCGACTCGTCTGACCCGCGTCGCTGTGGCTGGACGACCCGTGTCCGCTGTCACTCGCCTGTTCAGTCCCCCGGAGTCCGTCCGCCCACGACGCAGCGAGCCGCACCGGGAGCCACGCCCACCCCGATGACGCAAGGCGTCACCGCGACGGAGGCGTTAGTTGAAAAACCCCCGTGGTTTGGTTTGAATCCATTCAAACTTTGTAAGTGTTTCTGTCACAGAACACACACAATATTGGTGCTCATATATGGCACCAATGCAGGCATTTGGAACATAATTGTTCCCCTTTTTCATGCTGACACACTTAATTAAATTAAATTAAATGGTTATTTTGATGGATTCCATGTTTACCCTGCAAAGACATGTCATCTGATGGAGTATTTATTTCATGCTTTTACTGTTTTATTGTTGTATTATTAATTATCATAATTCTCATTTGTGTGAGTTCTACGTTGTGTGACGTTATACCCATCGGGAGTGATAACAAGAGCTTGCTCTTGTGTCATAGTAAGCAATATTGTGAACATCATCATCATATCATATTCATACAAATACATGTTTTTAGAGGTAACAATGAATATCTTTTATTTATTTGCTTTACATATACAGAGTAGCCTAAATGCAGTGCTTCAGTGCATAACGTACGGATCATCCTTGTTTCCTACGTTCCTAACGTTTCAAGCTCCTACAAGAGTGACACATGTGCAGCACTCGAGACAAATGCTAATCATTTACAGACAGAGAGGACAATTCATTGCAATTCAGTCACTAAGCAAAAAAAGCTAAAACTTGGACAAGCATGTCAACCGTCACAGATATTGCCAGAAGAAACTGCTGAGGGCCCCTTGTATGAAACAGATGAACCAACTGGCCTCTCAGTTGTGCAGTCGCCAGCTGGTTTCTTACATTTGACTCCAAACAAGCTGAAGAGTTTCATCAGCATCAGGTCTACGATCTCGTCCTCTTCTGACGGCTGTAACAGGGATAAATGAGCATAACTCAAGTTATCAGTAGGGCTGTCAATAGATTAAAAATAACTAATTAATTGCACATTTTGAAATTCATTCATTGCAATTAAAAGGTTGTTTTCACTAGAAAGCCTGTGTTTTAGACACTGGGATTTAATTGGATTTTTTTTGTATCATCTCGGGAGGCAGGATTTCACCCTAGCTTCGGCAGGAGCAAGCTGAGGTCCGGATAGGTTTGGCGCTAGTATCTTGCCCTGAGCTCGAAGTAAAGTTGAATTGAGTTGAGTGAGCTAGGCTACTTCAACTAGAATTCCTCTTATAGCTCTCCGCTTCTGTTCGTTTTACTTGTAATGCAAAAATCTCCCTCCATCTTCAACTACCGTCTCAGTCTCCGTTGCGTATTTTATCGCAATAATCTCGGCCACATTGATCACATAGATTAACGCATTCATTTTGACAGCCCTAGTTATTAGCAAAGGGAAGATGCCACTACATGTAAACAATAAGAACAAGAACTTTCAAACCTAGCGTGGGTGAGTTACCTTGTGATGGATCTGCTCTTGGCTGAATGCCACCAGAATGACAGAGATGAAGAGGTTCAGCACCACAAAGGTCATGAACACGATGCACGAGCCGATGAGGAAAGCTCCAAGCACTGGATTGTAATTCAGAACCTGAGGGATCAGTTGGAAGACTTGCGCTGAAGAAAGCTCAGCAGTCATATTCACCTGTGGTACATTCATAACAGCCTCATACTAACCTCTTCATAGTTAAAAATGCCAAGCTGCAGGCTGACCATGGTCTGTGCCGCATTCAGCAGAGTACGATAGGAGTATAGCTTCCACCCATACATCAGGTTGGACTGAAAAATAGAAAGTTAGTGTCTGTGTTGATGTAACATGTAACCATTTGAAAAAAATGACTCCAGTAGCATGCTGATGTTGAACTGTGGGAAGCTGCTCACAGCGATGGAATAGGCCAGGAACATGATGGTCATGACCACCAGGAAGCCTGAGATATCAGCCCAAGCTCGCTGCAGCGTGGCGGTGATCATGTGCAGTTTCGGGTTCAGTCTCAGCAAGTGCCACAGTTTGATCGTGGCCAATAGCACCAGGAAAGCAATCAGATACCCCAGCACTGCATCGGCCTTGGCTGTCTCATGGAAACTTGCGTATCTGGAGACAGAACATGATTCTTGCTTTACAATCTGTTGAAAAAAGGTATTGAACGGATTGAGGAAATTATGGTTCACCGAGTAATGTTTTCCTATTTATTGAGTGGAAATGTATTTATTATAACAGATTCACTGTGTCCAAATTCCAAATTGAAGCTTTGATTAGCTACTACTTACACAACATATGCTTAAAAATGATTTGTAAACAACTGAAATATTCCTCTCACATATATTCTGTACCAACCAATGGTCAGGTCCTAATGAGTGTATAAGTTCCATTATGAAAAAAAGCATACTGTACTGCAGAGAAACAGGCTAGTTACTACGAAAGGGATTTACGATCAAAAATAAGAAATACAAAAATACTCAGAAAATGAGCAAAAGTTGTTGATAATATCAATGTCAAGATAAAGTACACTGCGGTCACTTCATGTGTATGAACTTTTGTGGGTAGAGTTATTCTTATTGCTGACTGGTCTTTGTTGTCTTGGTAATACTCCATGTCCCGCTTCCCAAGTACAGTCCTCTTGATGAACACAGATAGCGCACTCCAGCTGAGGAGGATAATGGCCAGCTCCAGCAGGTTCACCTTGCTCCTGAAATAAGCCCATCTCTGCTGCTTCAGCAGCTTTCCCTATCAGGAGGAGAGGCGTGTGTGTGAGAGGTTACTGCTACCAGCGGCGATGGCCGTAAATTTGAGGTACAAATAATGAATACCTGGACAAACATGTAATAGATGATGAAGAGGAAGTAAATGACCTCAGAGGCCATCACAAAGACGTGAAGGCCTCCAGTCGACTGGTAAAGACGCACACTCTGAAGCTCGCTGCGGAACTGGAAAGCTCCTGGATGGAAGAAGGCAACAGACAAGGTGCTTCTTAGAACAGTGAAAGCTTCTGTGCAGCTCCCACACAGGAGCTGAACATGGACTACTGACCTATGGCTGTGGTCTCCAGCATGAGAGTGACAATACAGAAGAGGTTGACGTTGGCGTTGTACACAGTGAATTCCACAAAGACCGCTTGGGTGTACACATCAAACCAGGTGTTGTCATAAAGGTACTGAAGGGATCTACAGAGAGAACGACATGGTAGAATTTGTTCATGTCATTAAAGGGTTTTTTTTCATGCAGAGGCAAACTGTGTGGCACCATTTTGGTCATTGCTACATTCATTTGAGGCAAATTACTGCTTAAAGGAAAACGAAAACACTTTTCTTAAATTTAAAGATGTACTATTATGCAAATCGGAATTTACAATGAATCCCCAAAAAATAGACGCTTTTGTCACCTCTCCATCATATAAGGCTGCTATTAACAATTATCTTCGTTTAACTATCATTTTGTAGAAAATATATTGGGAAGCTTTAATTCCATTGAATTAGAAGATTGAAAAAAAGTATATGTATGTTTTCATTAGTGTTTATCTAATCAGTATTAGACTCCTGATTTCACTTAGTATCTCTTATCATGCCTACCTTCTGGAATTAATTAAATCTGGCCCTAAATCCACCACAAACCCTCCTCCTCTGTACAGCTGCACGCTGCCCCAGACGGGGATGGCCCTCAGTTGATGCTGGGACTGGTACTTCCACAGGCTTCTTAGGTTCAGCGAGGTGTTGTCACCCTCAGAGTGACTCCAGCCTGGACCGTAGGAGCCCATGTCTTCCAACTCCCACGAATACGGAGCGTGACAGTCCCGCTCTGACCGCTGCATGGAGGGAGCCACGTGGCAGGAGTTTTGATGCACCCTCACCTGGCGAAGGCGAGCATTACCCACCAGCTTGGAGTTTCCATCTGTGATGAATCCTGTGAAGGATTGTTAGGTAACAAGAATAAACAGATTTAAAGAAAAGAGCAGGAAAACATGTAGTAGATAAAATACAATTATATGTGTCAAACTACTAAATAAAGTCCTTAATCAGAACCATTTGCATATTTTCAACTACACAAAGACTTTTTACACTGCCGGTTAACCACAAGAAATGTTTGAATGCATTTTATACTTTACTACATGAATATAGTGTTTATATCATATAGCATATGTATTAAAGTAGTAAAACAAACTTCCTTTTACGTAAAAAAGAAAGGATTGAATTTCAGGCATGACAAATTTACATTATACTGTATCTATCATATAATACTTTGTCAGTCAGTCTTCACATACAGTCTAGCATTGAAACGTGAAACACTCAAATGTCGTTGAATATAAATTATAATCCTCACAATTGTTTATAATGTATTGTCAGAACCAATTCATAGTTGCTTTGTATTTTGATTGATCCATACCCAAGTTACCTGGACAAAATCAGGGTAAACAACAATATACAAATACACAAGCTTTACAACACAAGCAACAGTTTAACGTACAGCACATGAAGCCAAAACAAACAAAAGCTGATATTAGTTATACAAATGATGACGGCTAGTGTGTTTTTCTTTTTTATTATCTGTTGACTGTTAACTGTTATCTGTTAACACTAACTTACAAATATTTCATGCAGTCATGCATATCAGTTGTGTGCATCGGTTGATAATATCCCATTTTACTGACCTGGGTGCTCTCCAAATAGGTTGCTCAGCAGAGTTGTGTTTGCCCAGTTGAACATTTCCTCAATACTCATACTGTCAGAGATCCCTCTGCTGAAGCTCTGCCGAATGTGTTGTGTCAGAAAGTAAGCGTTGGGGTCCCTCTGACCGTACGCCACCAGGAGCAACATCCACATGAATCCCATGTAGGCTGCATGACACACAAGCATCCCCCATTAGCGTCGGAAGACGGATTACACTGCTTCATGTGTCGTATGGATGTGCTTCTCCTACCAAGGATCTCCCTTATTAGTGCAAAGACCTTCTGTTCTTTGATCATGTTGCTCCTTATCTTCTCAATGTCAGTGGGAGGTGGTGGCTGATAGAAACTGCATGTGCTGTCTCTTCTTGCTGCCCGCACTGTATCCGGATCACCTGAGAAAGGGATGTTGTAGTGATGTGTTTGGTTTTTTCACATAAAACAATACAGCTACAACGAAGCAAGTAGAAAAACCATACCTGTGTTCCTTAGACTCTCATCTATCGGAGGCTCTCCGTACTCCTCTTGGTCAACTTTTTTTAGAACAAGTGCGAAGAAAGCAGCGAAACCAAGAACCTGTTACAGAAGAACGTCAATAAAAGGGGTCCTTATACTGATCAATGTATGACGAATACAGTCAGTAGGTATTTAAGCCCTTGGAGGTACACAGACAACCCAGAATGCCTTGCAAATGTTTATAAAGTAATTCATTAAATTATATCATATATGGTAATGAATACAAAAGGAAAAAATACAAATATCTTAAACAATAATAATTTAAAATAATTTTCCAATTCATTCATCATTTTGAATAGCCTGAGTTCACTCAATGAATTGCTTTTGAAACATTTGCAGTGATATCCATGTTTTATTATCACCCATTACTGTGACGTCGCTCACCTTCAGAGGTTGGGTGACAAAGAGACTCTCAAAGAAGGAGATCATCATGGAGATAAGCCAGTTTATGGAGCGCTCCTTCCCATAAGTCAGCCCATACATCATTGTGAAATAACCTGACACACCGCTGGTTGCGATCACCAGTATCCAACCAATAAACACGGACCACCAGGGCAGCCCGCCTCGACAGCCCTTCTTGGTGGCTTCGTCCTTGACGCTCTCTCCTGGACTGGGGCTGCGGTCCAGCTCATCGCCCTCCAGGCTGGGCGGGTGGAGGCGGCACTCCAGAAGACCTTTCATTCCTTTAACCTGCTGCATGGCTCGGTTGTAGCTGTCTGGGTTTGGAAAACGAGAAAGTCCCAACAAACCAAGCTCCTTCTCAACATGACGCAGCTGCTTGTACAGGTAACGGCTGTTGCTGCTCTTCTTCTGAACCTCATCTGACGTTTTCTCAGGGCTTCCTACCCCGCAGTTTTCTGAAAAAAAAATAATGTATATAATATATCTTTACATTATGTTTTATTAGGAAAAATATATATTTTTTATTCTTTATTTGGTCTTTAAGTATGCAAACGAGAGGAAGCCAATCTAATTTAGACCACTGACAATGTCACCAACCACATCACCATCATCATATGAGTCAATCACAAGTCAATAAGTATCAGCAGCATTGGCTCTCCTTATGATTTGTATATAAAATAAGATGTGTTAATATAATATTTCAATTGGTTTTAATGCTCCCTTTATCAATTCATCGCCAAGTCATTTAAAAAAAACGTATAAATGGATTATCCAATAAAACATGTGAAACACATGATATCAGAGGAGCATGAACTGCTTTTTTGTACCTTGTTCTAGATTAACTGCTTGTAAACTGAGAATCATGGAGGTATCCCTCTTGGAGGCATCAGTGTAGAAGTCTCCAGCCGCACGGTTCTGCTGTCTGATGATATTCTCCACCAGAGACAACAGAGTGTTGATGTCAGACTGCTGACCGGGCCGCAGCTCCAGCTGAGGGAGCGGACTCTTCATTGCCTTTGAGAGGGACTGAGCAATCCTCTTTATGTCCTAAAGGAGACGCGCAACAAGCACTGTAGCGGTGTAGAAGCGGAGGAGGTATCACTTCTAAATCACAGAAATGGATATATGAACTCACCTTGATCACAGTGTCTGGTGTGATGTCCTTCAAAGCTTTCTGAGGGGAAGATGTTTGTGAAGGAGAAACTCGACCAGTTTTTCCTTGTTTAGACGTTTCCCTTTTGGAGCCCTTCTCTCGAGGTCGAGCGTTTCTGAAGATACTCACGATCAGGAGATTAATGGGAAACATGATGATGGAACTTTGAACTCCAATAACAACTTGTTGCCAGGTGAACTCGATGTGACCTGCGAAGAAAAATATTCCTTTAAATCAAGTTTAAATGGATTATTTAGATACTCTTCTATTTATTCAGCAAGGCTACTCACTCTAGGTCATTGCCATGACATGTATTGATAAGATATTTTTGCATGTGTGCATGATGTTTCAGCGGTCAGTTTAGTGCTGGAGAGATCTGCACACCCTCCATAGGTAGTTTGTATAAGCTTCATGGTTTGTTACCTACCTAGGTCCATGGTTTGCTCAGAGGGGTCAGTTGGGATGCCCCAAAACATGATGCTTGTGAGCATGGTGCAAAGCAACAGGGAAAAACAGCAGGAGACACGCTGCACTCGTGTGAAAGTGCTACAGGGAGGGCGACTAATTACAGAGAACCAGATGTGGCCGTCCCTGAAATCCTTGGCTGTCTTCATGAAGAACAGGTTACTTGAGGAAAGGAAGGGATTTTGGTTCCAGGAGAATTAATGAATCACGGACAAGTTTCCTTGATAATATGTTTTTTCCAGATCCATGACTGGTCTTACCTAAACCTCTTCAGGTCCATCTCTGTAGCTACTGGGAAGACCTTGTCAAGAGCACACTCTCCGACATCAACAGCCAGCCAGGAATTACAAAGGAAGTGCCATTTTTGACCACTTTCTAGATCCTGCACCATGACTTTGTTGACGTACCTGCATGTAAAATTCAATAGTGATATTGTGTGCTGATAGTATCGGTAGAAACACAAGCTCAACTTTATGATTTTACCCTCTTCGGAGTCACAATGCCTTGCCCTTTAACCCGTACCATGCAGGATGTGCTCCTGAGTTGTCGTGCCACAGCCTAATGCTCTGCAGATCTCCAAGAGAGAAGTGTGTGGTGAGCAGGAACATGTCCACCCCTCCCCTCTCAAACACTGGCTTCTCAGTGTCAGTCAGGTGGTGGGGCTCACTTTCCCCCTCTGTGCCAAGCAGGGTTATCGTTACCTAAAAAAACAAAACAAAAACACCAATCAAGATGGACAGTTCCTACCATCATACATCTAAGAAGAAAAAGCATCAGACATTACTGACCCGGGAGGAGGTGGATGCACCATGTCGATGACCTGTGCTGACATTCAGCATATAGTGATACTCAGCCAATGGGTCATTATCCTCCAGCACTGTTATCTTGACCTAAAAGTGAATGCCAGGACACATTTCAGAATTGGTCATTTTAATGACGTAGGGTAATGGTCACACAACTTTGAATCAGATATAAGATCATTGAAGCAATGAAAGGGATTGCAATTATAAACTACTTGAATGTGGAGTATTTTATTGTGAGTGCATTTTGTAGAGGGTCAGCAGGTTATTTTCATCAGAATAATATCTCTTTATTTACTGAGTGAATTGTTTTAACTTCATTTATTTTTAAATGTAACTGAGGATCACTTGTTACTTTGTATAAGAAGGTTCAATGTAAGACAACATATAAAGATCTCACAGAATGTTGCATGGGCAGAGATGCTTCAGTTTAAGATTAGAGACATTCATAATATGTTAATTTGTTTGAGCTAAAACATCTGAATCAGACTTCCCAAATGGTCTGGCAGTTCAAATCAACAGTATAAAGATGTGCAACTCTAATGAAAATCACCTTAGCTGAGTCCTGGATGTCTTTTCTTCGCGCCCATACTACCACCAGGAGATACGCAGCAAAGATGGCCCCCACAAAACACACCACCACCGGATTGTTAGTGAACGTAGCAAACAGTTCTGCAGTGCGTGACACATCAACCAAGTTCGGCATGACAAAGAAGGAGCTGCCAAAGAAAGTCAGGTGGTTGCAGAGGCAATGTGTGACGAGAGGCGTGGTGAGCGGGCCGACCTGAAGAAATAAGAAAAACCAGACAGTCAACTTTCACAGCCTATTGTTAAGGGTTTCATTCACATAACGTATAATGTGTGTTTGTTTCGTACCCTGCAGCCATCCTCGCTCCAAGAAGACTCATTTTCATTCCAGTATTTGCACTGGGCGGCGATAGAAATGACAGTGACGGTGGCATTCACGGCTTTGATACCTGGCTCGACAATGGGCTTCATCACAAGGTAGTGCTCTCCCACTTCTCCCGTCCTGTCTTTGGGACTCAGGACCCAGGTGTATTTCCCCTCTGTGGTGGAATTGTAGATATTATCATAGAACATCCGCACATAAATGAAGGCTTATGCACATGGATCAGGCTAATTCTCCCAACAACCATAAATATAATTTAAATGTAACTTTCAGTCATATTAGAGACTCTACAAAACGATACGTCTGATCATTTTAATTTTACCCCCTTTGGCGTTCTGTAGAGGCATCTGAGTCTTGGCTAAATAATTCTCATCATTGGGATAATCTTTAGATCCCAGGAACAGCATGAAGGTGAGCTGTTCAGATGGCTCCATTTTCAGAACCAGTGTCACATCCGGCGAGGGAACATTAATTATTAAAGTGCTGAAATTGGCCAGATCCAGGACCGTGCTGTTCTCCTGCCCAACATCAGGCCTCGGTAGGAAAATCTGAAAACCCAGAAAACACATGAGGCTGAACAATGCACAGAGGCTGTCGAAGGGAATATGCTAAAACCATCTCTAAAAGAAACATTACCTCTATCTCCTCGGGTAAGTTCTGAACAGAAATTACAGATCCATTTGTTCTGGTGAGAGAGACGGATCCTACAGTGCCAGTGATGTTTTCTTCTTTCCAAGAGTACGGGTTCTTCTCAAAACTCATCATCTAGAAGGAGGGGAACATATGTTGCCTTATTTTCAAATCAAATTGTGTAAAACTGACTTCAAAAGAAGCTGAGATAATCTGAATTGGCAATAACCTCGACTTTTTACATATATTGTTACTTTTATTGAGTCTTATATCTAGGGCCACTTGGACTATTAAACAACTTGTTTTGGTCTTTAGACAGTTTTAATGCTTTTCCCCCCTGCTGGATGGCTTACAATCACATCTCTGGTAAAGACAAGATTTTAGGTTGTGATCTTGTGTAAACGAGCAATTTCTCGATACACTTACTCTGACATCGACTGGCTCCTCTGGAGAGAGAATATGAGCAGGCAGTGCAGGGAAGAAAAATCTGGAGGTGCTGCTCTTCTGGACATTTATATCCTGCATGTTTTCTGGAGACACTCTGCATGAAGTAGAATCAGAATTTTCTTAGTAATTTCAGTAACCACTAGTTTTTTCTCAAGCACAAGCTCTAGCCACTGTCAGGTATCTCTTACCTGTTGACATACACACTGATCTGACCCGAATCGATGATGGCAGGGTCTCCGTTAAGCTTTTTATTATTCAGCAAAGCACTTTGAACATTGCTTATCCCAGTGAGAAGAGAATCTGAGACTTTTTTCTGAGGAGAATACATTATATGATACATTATACTGTATATCTGAAAAAACAGATGTTTTGCAATATCAATGATAGCTTTGTTCTTACATTTGAGGAAACATTCAAAATATTACTGGCCGCTTCAAGTATTGGTGTAGCAGCTCGCACTACTTCTCCGTCCTCTCCATCGTCTTGATTACCAGTGATTGTGTTGAGGGAGGAGCTGAGGTCCACCAACAAGGAACCCGCTTCTTCCTGGAGAGAATATATCAAATAAACAGAAAATATTACAGTCGGTCTGTGTTTTCAAAAGAGCTGATGAGGATTCACATTCTATTCATAGAATTGTCAAACAATTACATTTTCTTCAGTTCAATTCAGACCAAAGGCTCCTCTTTGAATTATAAAACAAAGTGCTGTTTGCACCGCATTTTCTTAAATTTCCCAATAAAGAAATATCTACTGTACTTGAGCAGCGGCACTGAGCTCGTCTGGGCGCTGGGTGAGTCCGGCCAGAGCTCTGGCTGTCACTTGGACCTCCTGAGTTGTGTTGCTGGGTGAGTCCAGCAGAACTCTGGTCATTTTCGACAGCATTTGCTTTCTGAGCTGAAAGAGGAAGAAAGGCTGAACCACCATGATGCATTACACCCGCCCACAATACAACAAAAATAAGAGCAGCACATCACTACAATTGTAAAAATTATTTTACCTTTGTCCTTGCATCCCTCTGATCTTGGCCGTCCTCTGTATTCAACAAATCGGAAACTGAAGAAAAGATTTGTCCGAGTGCCTCACAAGAGAGAAGCCCCTGCTGCTCTAACTGACCCACACTGTCCTCCACTGCAGATGTGAGAGCCTCCACGGATGTACTTGTGCTGCTTGTTCGTACCTTGAGGGACAGAAACAGTCACTCTGAAAGATTCAAAGACTTTGAGATGGTTCAACGTGTTTCTCTAACAATGCGTCTGGCCATTGATCGTCCCCTCGATCAACACCTCTCATTGTAATCTGCTTGGTGGGTACTAGTGTGAACTGGGATGGATATGGATGAATAAACGCATGATTTTATTGGGCAATGTCCATATCTGTCTGTTTCTTACTCTGCGACAAAAAACCTAAATCTTCTTTCTCGAAATACACGATTACTGACAGATGACAAACCTGAGTGGAGACGGTAGTGCTGGTTTTCTCATATTTGTTTTTAACAGTCACCACGACTAACAAAGTGTAATTGTTGTTCTTGTCCCCGAGGGGCAGGAAGACAGATCTCACTTCATTTGCCTTACTGCAGCGCAGATGTTCTCCTTCAAAACAAAATAAACAACAAATAAGATATGAGATATATTATTTTGCACGCATACTAATAATGTTATCCACAGGCACTATTTTATGTGTACTATATATATATATATATATATATATAGTTCAATAATTAAATCAAGAGCTAAGAGCTCACTTTCCCACCTGTGTCTGTTTTGAAGCAGTAAAAACACCCTGTAGAGCAGAAGGAGCTTGATTTGCAGGTGATGTCAAAAGGCTCGAGGACGGTTCCTGACGGAGGAGAGATGTTGCATGAGGGGGGCAGGTTGTCTGCCTCGGTAGGCTCAGGACCTGGTATTGGAAGGGTGTACTTGGCAAAACCTGGCATATTCTTCCCTGTAAAAGAACAAATATTTTTTCAAATAGATTGTTTTAGTCTGGCAAATTTTTATGGAGGTCAGAAAAATATATGTGACATAAACATTGTTATTTATTTCAGTTTGAGCAAAAAATATATATATTGCCACACTTATTATTCACTATTTGCGGCTGGTTTTATTATTTGTAACTATTGTCGACATGTGTATTTAACTATGTTTTTGCATGAGTATATATATTTATTGTGAGGCAAGCAAGTGTATCGTGTCATGCAGCAGCTTGGAGAACAATTATTAAAGTTTGTCTCATATTATCTTAAAATTAAACTTGTTCAAAACATCCTTCAATCATTAATTGTCAATGCATCAACTCCAGACTTTTAATTTAGGCGCAGTGCCCAATTTCATCTATATACTTTTCTATTTTTCTATATAAAAAATGATGCACTGCTGAAAAGAACATCACGACCGTGGGATGAAAACGCACCATAAGCTATCACACTGATGTTGTGAGATGAATCCCTCGAAATTTTCAGATGTTGACTACGTACAACATACTCAGTGTTGCCATCCTGCCTCTCGATTATTGGCCTCCTTCCTTCTTTGGAGTGACATTTTTTAAGGTCATCCTGGGAAAAGAAAATCATTTAATAATTGACACATAAATAATTTAAGCCACTTTTACAAATCAATTCAATTTGGGGTTTTGGTCTCACCGCTAAAGGTTTAGGGTCCTCAATATACCAAACTACTTCTTGGCAAGTTTTAACACAGCTCAGTCTGAGCTTTACAGCGTTGTTGACATTTATTGAAGAACAGTCATCACAACTGCCCCCCACCCAAAAGAAAAAAAGTAGTCACATAAATTAAATGTTCAGTATTTATAAAACCGACAGAATAATTATACTGAAGATTTATTGCCAATTATCCCTATTTACCTTATAGTGACATCAGTGAATTCCTTTGGTGTAACAGTTATGCACTTTGAAGCTGAAGCAGAGTCAACCCATTTCCTAAACCAGGTTGCTCTCCTCACAGTTAGGATGTATTCGAAAATATCAAAGGGATCTGGAAGGCAATTCTTTGCAATGACATGAGTTTCACCCTTTGTTTTGTTTCTGCATTTGCAGTTTCCTTCTGTGTGGAAAGGAGCAGAGCTTTCATATAGCATTCCAACAATAAGGGGATCGCAGAGACAAATATCATGAATTACACCATTACATGTATAGGACATAGACAACAATATCACCAATAGATACCATCACATGTGTCCCAGTTGTATTCAGGGATTTTATCCTGTAACCAGAAATCTGGCCAAGCACTTATCTTTGTTTTGAGACACCATAACATGCCAATGGAAGTGTGCTAACAGCAACTAGAATAGTGAAGACAACAGATATTTGACAGGTTTCTGATCAGTGGGATCATTGTGAGAATCTAATGATGATTTTTTTTACCAAAATGAAAACTAGTATTGCTAAAATGACGGTTATGGTTGGACAAATGATATTGGTTATCTTATCATTCACATTATTAGTGATCAGATGGAGAAATCAAATCCAGCAATGTCTGTCCATTCAGCCAGAAAGTATCGTTGTCAAAGTATCGACAACAACACAAAGACAACTGATGTGAAACCTGTTAGCCGAGCCGAGTCGTCACTGTTTTGGATTGTCGTTGTGTTTTTTTTATTGTTGTGTTCGCCCCTGTTATCACTCTGATTTTTCATTGTGGTACTTACCACATTTCCATTCAAACACAAGTCCTTTGCTGGCCATCGATTCAGTTCCAGATACGCGCAGTGTGACACTCTGAGTGTTATCAACCAACGTGTCCGGAATAGCAGTTATTTTCAAGTTGTCGATACTTAAACTAGCTGTCTGTAGATAAAACCAAAGCAGTTATGCCATTACAGACGCAGGCAACAATCATTGTTTGATACTAATCTTCAACATACTGAGTTTACAGGCACATCTGCTGAGAAATCAGACTGATTCTGGCAAGACCGAAGTATGTCCTCCAAGTCCACGTCCACATCAGAGGCCGAAAAGGCATTCACAGCTCGTAGCGTCACCTTCAATGTCCCTTTACCAAAGGAGTATTATACAGAGCATTATACGGATGCATTACACAACGGGTGATTGTTTTCATTTGATTACATCCTAAGCCGTAAGTACCTTGAAGCGGCCTGGAGAATGTATACGCTTGTGAGCCGCCATTGAGCATGTCTCTAGCCTCAGAGATTGTGCCGCCACCTCCAGTCAGAGTGAAGAGCAGCTCCACGGGGGCTCCCCGCTCCAACGAAACACCGATGATGAGATCAGTGGAGTCCGGACACACATCTTCCTCTGCCGTCACCGAGGCCTGCAGGCCTTCAATGGGCTCCAGCAGACACAGCTTCAGATCAGCGGACACCGCTTGGCCCGTGACCTTGTTAGAGGCGGATAGAGTCAGGTTGTGGCAGCCGTGGCCGAGCTTTTCCACCGTACTTAGACTCAGTGTCATGTTGTGCGGTGTGATCCCATTCTCCACCGACAGGTTTGCAACCACGTAGCCTCCATGCTGAATTGTGTAGGAAACATTTGTACCTATATATGAGAGAGAAAAAAATATAACTGTGATGTATTTTGATGACTGAACCATGTAATTCATGTTGGACCCACTTACCTGCCCGTACCATCACCTGGATCTGCACAGGTGTACCACTGTGCACATTGCATTCAGTGCCACCTGTCGACATATTTCTGCTATAACACTTAATGACACCGAACTCTCCAACGGGCTCCTGAATGGTTATGGCTTCCTGAGCTGTGACATGCCAATCACTGGTGGTGCACTCCACTCCAACCACGAAAACACCGGGACGGGTGAATTTGTGCATCACATTGCTCTCCGTCCTGTGAGACAGGTAAATTAAAGCTTGAAATGCAGTTTCTTAAATAGTGAATGAAATAAAACCTAGCTGACTGTCTGATTGAATGCAAAGTCCTACTCACTCTTCGGGGTTGTATGGATTAATAATGTGGCCATCTCCAGCATTCAGTGTGCATGTGAGGTTCCCCTGAAAAGGATTGAGGAGCCACTTCACAGTGATGGTGACATTATCAAAGATGGCCGCCAGCTTGCTCATCAACAAGTGGAGTCCTGAGAGAAAAACATTGCTTCAGAGAGGTTTGTCCAATTGTAAGAGACAGACAGAACAATGTATCTCTGCACAATGCAACCTGGAGTTAACTCCACACAACAGTACAGTTCATTTAAGTACATCTACGTTCACTCTGCTTGTCACAACAGTGATGCAATTATGTAAAAGTGAACCGGCAAGTTTAGCCTGTGAGGCTACATAGCTCTGTAGGCAATGTAAAGTACCAGGACAAGACATGTAGTTTAGCCATGAAAAGAGGAACACAGGGCATACAGAACATGGAGGGTGAACTGCATATACCCATTAAAGCAGTGAGATATTAAAACATTATACAAATATATTGTTATTATATTGTTCATCTTAGAGTATTAAGAGTATTATTTCAGATGGATAAAGTCTATATATAGAGAAAGTAAACTCTAACCATGTTTGCAGGTGTACTCTACAGACAGGTAACTTCCCAGGACGGGACATGGTTCACCAAAAGAGCTCAAGTCCACTGGAGCCTGGCAAGTCTGCCGACTGTGGCAATGGGCTGGAATGACACGTAAACAAAGTCAATTATAGATGGATTTTCCTTTTGATTCAATTGATCAAGAGGCATTGAAAATATTGTTGTATAGTAGTAGTAATAGTGTGAGGGTCCAATAGCTCTTTAAAGAGGTGCTTTAATCATAAGGAGGAACACCACTTATTTTCTTAATAACTACACAAACCCCTCCAGCATTAATAATCTGACTGATTTGAATGAATCTGAATAAATATTTACCCTACAGTCCATCTATTCAGCTCTTAGGAGGGGATTTGCCTAACGTTTTTTTCTGAAAGTGCAATCCTTTTATGTGAACTGAAGTTCTTTGTCTTCGAAAACAAAATTGTGGTGATTATGGTGCCTTGGCCTTTTAAAAAAGCAGCTTTAACAAAGTCAAATATGTTCCCATAGCTTTTACACCAAATACAAATAATGTTCCGTTATTCAAAGTTAAGTAAATATCTTGTCATGAGGTGTAAGAGTAACCTGATGCATCACAAATGTATATCAATAATACCTGTAACAGATTCCATCACATCTATCCAGCTGCACTCCTCCTGGGAGGATGTGGGTGAGGCTGCGAGTTCGGCTCTGCAGTAATGAATAGTTTTTCGACCATAGAAGCTGTCATCTATGATTATAACTTGACCAGAACCACATTGCAATGTTGCATTTTGGCCACCACATGCAATAGATCTCCCAGAATCTGACAAAAAAATGATCAAGAATTAGATAAAGGGAGCACAATAAAAAATAAATGTAATGTGATTTTGCAATTCATTTCCTAATACAAACCAAACTGGCAAATAAAGTTGAGCTCCTGGTTGCAATCGTCTGCTGCTTCCCACTGGAAGCCCGATCCTCTAAGGATATGTCCGCAGGCCGCTAGTGCATCTGGCATGTTCGCCCAGTTACTATAGCTGACATCGGAGCCTTCCAGCCACGCGAGGGAACCTGTGAAAGGACGAAACAAATGCATCATTTAATTACATAAAATTTCTATTTTGGATTCTGCTGTATGTTAGGACAAGGACGTTTTCCTTATCTTTTCTTTCTGTTAAGATGCAATTTGGTAATGAAACAACAAAGCTATAAAATGAGCTGGAGACAAGATTAATGAATGATAAAGACTCATTCTCTGGGAGGGACATAAGGACGCATTTGTAAATCAACTTGACAGCAGGCCTATTGAGAAGTTCAAATGAATGAAAAACACCTGCTGCATGAGGGAGATATCCAAATGAGACAGTCATCTAACAAATGTAAACAACAAACACGTTACAGACCCATACAATGGACCTACAAGCTGCCCACGGAGATAGCAGCTGCACTGATAATCTAAATTTCTGACAGTATTCACTATAAAAAGTCATCAGACGTAACGTTTAAAAACAATAATTACTGAAATAGTGGTTATCAGAGAAATTATCAGGCTGTTATTTATACAGTATACTGTATGTATAAAACATATACCGTACCAGTCAAAGGTTTGGACACACTTTTTGTCATTGAATTGAATGAGAAAATGTGTCAACATTTTTGACTGCTGCTGTACACTCAACGCAAATCTATATTAATCCTTTAGATTAGTCGTGCAGTGTCTGCATTTGATTCCCACCCTCGTGCCGTCTCACCTTCGGTATCAGCAGAGTCAAGTGTGAGGTTTGGAGCTGCAGGTGCCAGCCCGAGCCACCAGTCTTTCTCCGGGTCCAGATGCTTTTGGAGGAACTGCTGTGTTTCATCATTCAGGATGAAGGCTAGGTGTCCTCCACCTTGTTCACACCAACCCTGGGCACCGAGGAAGGGTCGCTGCAGGCTCACAAACTCGTAGCAAGAGCCGTCAAAACTCTCCTGGTATTCTGGGCAGGGTAGAGCTTCTGCATCCTCCTGAGCAGAACAAGTGAGGAAAAGAACCATCGCAGTCAGTGTGTGGAACATGGTTCTTTCCATCTCTGCAACTGTTCAGACTCTCTGGTAACGGGTTGTCTTTAAAGGGGAATGACGTCATTAATTCTGACACTAGCTTCCTTGATGACGGTCCAGCTTTGTATCGCGCCCATAATTCTTGTGTGCAAAGAAAGCTTGGGCCTGTAGTGAAAAGGGACTGTCAACAGTCAGTGATTACTCCTCTGCCTCCATTAAAGTAGGGCTCCACAACCTGCAGAGTAAGATAAGCTTCTCATTCAGACTTGACACAAAAATGTCAACCTGAACTTTAATAGGAGCCGGAGGCTTTAACCGTCTCTGACTGATTCATGAGGGTGAACTAAAAGGTGTTAGCCTTTAGTTGTTGCATGGAGTGCTCAGCAGATATTTGACTGGCAGACCGAAAAAAAGCTGTTGTTGTTACAAAATAACGCTGCATTTCATTTTCAGCAGGGTTCCAGTCAGGTCTTTTATTTACCAAATACAATTTGACATATAAGAGCAGGAAAAGTGTAAAAAATGCAATTTTGATGGTTGAATAACCTTCAGCGGCTTTAGTTTCTTTGTCCTGTTATTGCACATGCTGCCTCACTGTCGTGGCTGACTGGGAAACATGATAGAACAGAGCCCTCTCTTTATTAGTTATACTTGTGTTTCATTTGATTTATTTAAAAATAGATTTATTAGCTTATAGTTTTTTCATAATTTGCATATGAAGAGGAATTGTTCTGTGTATTTGGTCTTTTCTCTTGTCGCTGATTAACAGCCAGTCTGGGCTCAAAGAAGAAATATTAAATATTAGCAAATTACATTACAGGGATACATAATTCACAGTAACATCATCCTGCAAATGCAACTACTACTCAAATTCTGTCTGACAAAAAGACAAATCAGTCATTTTTATTCTATTTAGCTGTTTTCGGTGGTTTTTAACGCATTTCTTGTGCTAATGCCTTTTTCTATTTTGACATGTATGAAAAACAGCAACTCGCCAAGTACCCGGATGTGTGACGTCATAAAACCGAGACGACGATCGCGACGGGAGGTGACTTATTGAGTAACCCAACCTGTGCGCGTTTTAATACATGTCGCGTCAGTAAGCAGACCCAGCATTTTGACAATGTTGGCTTGCAAGTGGCTCTTAACCGGTACCACGGTCTCTGCTCTCCGGGGTCATCGCAGTCGCAAAGTAAACACATCATTTAGAACTGTCGTGGTTCGCGCCGCGTCCTCCCGCGGGCTCGATCTGTGATGCTAGCAGCGGTTTGCTAAAGTCGACGCGGCTCATCGTCCTCTCTGCCTCCTCAGGTCGTTGTGTCCGGCCCTGTGCGGAGATGGCTGTCCTCACAGACGGACGGAGAGGCCCGCATCGCGGGCGTGCTGAAGGAGAAGTTCCCGTTAGCCACATCACTCAAAGTCGTGGATATATCAGGTAATAAGCGCAGGTCGATCAGGGGACTGGCTGCCAGATGTGCCAGAGTGCATGTAAAATGACGTCATGGTAATTATCATGCAGTCCTGTTCTTGTTGTGTAGAAACCGGATGGTGACAACATACTGTACACTGATTCTATGCTGTGTTAAGGGGGTTGTGGAGCAATGTATGAGATCCATATAGAGTCCAATGAGTTCAAAGGAAAAAGGACCATCCAACAGCACCAGTTAGTTAATCAAGTAAGTAGCCACAATAACCTCACAACAATAACAATGTTTTCCTAAACATTTGTGAAAATTGTACACTTTCAGGTGTGTACGGTGGCTCTGAAGTGCAAATCACAACAGCAAATAGGAAAACACAACGACAAATAAGAAAGCGCAACGATATTAAAAGGCCTTATAGCAGAGGACGGACACTTCTGATTGGACAGACGGACTGTTTGTAAGAAGTAAATGTCATTGTGTTTGTGTTTTCCTATTTGCCGTTTTGCAAATTTGCACTTCAGATTTGCACTTCAGAGCCACCGCAGGTGTGTAACCAATTGAATGTTATTCACTAGTTGTTGTGTTTTGTTTTCCGCAGGCACTCAAGGAGGAGATTCAAGGAATGCACGGGCTGCGAATATTTACTGATGTTCCAAAACATTAGAGAAAGTCCTTCCACTGTTGACCCACAACTTGATGTATCTATCACAAGTTCAGTTCTATAAACTGTAGTTTGTAATATTTCAGTGACAGAGGAACATTGCCTCATTGTTTCTGGCAGTTATACATTAACAGTGGGAAAGAATGAAATGTATGGTTTCACTAAGTTATCTTATGGTTTTTAATTGTGAGATATCATAAAGCAGGTCACGGCTACAATACGCACAAAAATACTTGGGAGAAGGAGGAAATGTCAAGTCATGTAGGTTTCTGGCCAGTATCTGTTTTTTTTCTCAGGGTTGATAATATAAAAGTAAATACCATTGTCCTGAAAGTTGGAAAATGAACACACACTGTTGTTTTCAGATTTTTCTTTTTTACATAAATTATGCAAGAGCCATGAGTTGTTTGTTTTACTTTTTTGATCAAAGGTGTCATCATTAAGAAACTTAAAGAGCCCTGAACATTCAAGCACTTAATCGTTTGTAAATGGCAAAGATATATTTATATCTATAATAGCCGTATATAAACCATTAACAGTTTTCTCTGCATTTAAAGCTATTCATTTTAGGTAGCAACATTTTTTTTGTAATGCCTTCAATCAAACAGTAATTTTCAGGGGTATTGGACTTGAACTTCAGCAGTATTCCATGTGGTGATAACTACTCAGGTTCAGCTGGATGTGTAAAGAAGGAAGTTAAGTTATTGAATGTTGCAATATTATTACCCACAACAAATATATAGGTTTGCCTCAACATCACGGATAACTTTGAAAACGTATTTGCTTTGTTTTCTCCCTCCTACTGCTTTAGCTTAGTGTTGAGGGGAAGAGAATTTCAACAAAGCTCAAACACAAAGTGGATAAATGAAAGAGAAAAAATATATATATATTTTTGTATATATTGGAATATGTAGCAGGTAATAAAGTACACCATTTCTATGTCTCCTTTATCAATCTTATGTCTTGGACATTCATGCATGCACAGCTTACAGGTCAAGCGCATTGAATTTGGATATTAGTTCATCCCACATTTCCTGAGCGTACCTGAAGGCACCACACTTGTTGAAGAGATTCCCATCCGCGCATCGTGGATGTACGAGACAGAGTCACGCACACGCTTCACCGGCAGATGGCGCACTTCCCACTTTATCCCCGCATTCAAGGGGTAACAACGTTACAGGATGAATCATACTTCTGATTCGTGAAATATCAAACCTAAGTTAAATTATTTAGCACCTCTGTGACTTGACAGCGAATAAAGACAGTTGAGAACTTTTCCGCGTGCGTGCACGTGTACGCGGCGTGGATTTCCATCCATACAGCGCCTGTCCGTCCACACGCCGCACACCACGTCCCCCTGAGCCCCGAGGAGGAGCGCAGAAGGCAGGGCAGCCGGTCTACGACATGGCGAAAGAAAGAGCAGGCATGACGGAGGAGACGCAGTACATGATGGACCGGATCGTCACGAAAGAACCCGAAAACGTGCCGACGTCGGGCGATGCTAAAGAAATGCGAGCGGTCGTGTTGGCAGGTTTTGGAGGTCTAAACAAACTCAGGGTGACCAAGAAGCCAATGCCCGAGCCTCAGGATGGCGAAGTGAAGATACGCGTCAAAGCCTGGTAAATATGCACGTCAGTTACATGCATTTCACATGAACTTGTGGATCGTGATGGGCTCCAACTCCCCACCCGCTGAAGCCACAGGTCCTTTTTCTTTTGCGGGTTTTCTGGCCCGAGCTCACTCAAACCAGCCAAACATTAAACTGTTGCTATCCAAGCCAGCATCTTTGAGGCAGATTTTAGTCATTTTAAAATCCTCATTTTTGTTTGATAATTATATCTTCATTTACTCATTACTGCATAAGAGCAATACCACGTGGACTAATAATATGAAATGGCACTGGGTTATCCTTATAACAACTCGTTTGAAGTATTTCTATTATTGTACTAAAACCATGCAGATGCATGGCTTCCCTTGAAATATCCAATCCGAAGGATTTAATGTGAACAAACTGTAAAATCCTGTTTATCCTTTGTTGCAGCGGCTTGAATTTCCTGGATCTGATGGTACGTCAGGGGACAATCGATAACCCTCCAAAACCTCCCCTTGTCCCTGGATTTGAATGCTGTGGAATAGTAGAGTCAGTTGGTGAAAACACAACCGGATTTGAGGTAAGTATCCTTAAAGATTGTAACTCTGTCATGCTGGCATCTATCAATGAATGTGCCAGATTCTATGCAACCAAATCTGCATCAACAAAAAAATATATACACGTGCTATACGCCCAATAATGCGATATATCTGTTTTTAATAAAACAGCTTAGTGCCACGTGCTCGTTTCACAGTCGTGTCTGTCTGTCATCCAGCTACTCTAACATGTTTCTTTCAGATAGGCGACCGAGTTATGGCTTTTGTCCATTACAATGCCTGGGCAGAAATTGTTTGCACGCAGGTGGATTTTGTCTACAAGATGCCAGAGGAAATGAGTTTTGCTGAGGCGGCTGCATTCTCCCTGAACTTTGTGGCCGCCTATATGATGCTCTTTGAGGTTGCTAATCTGCGGGAGGGGATGTCAGTGCTGGTACAGTCAGCAGGAGGTGGTGTAGTAAGTCCAGTTATTTATTATTCCACGCCCACTCTCATTGTAACTGTCTGCTTTATACCTACAAATGGAACATGTTGTTCATTCCCTTTTAATGCGTAGAAACTGCTGTGCTAAATTGCTATTTGAACTTCTTAAACAACCTTTTGAATAATGGAAGGTTTGGAATGACAACAAAAAAGCTTAATAAATAAAATGTTAATGTGTCATGTTAACTATTTAATTGTAAATTGTACAATGAAGATTTTCTAAAACACAATATCTCAGTTTCTATGAATTTCTGATTATCGCTTCATGGTGTGCAAACTTTTGTCTTTGTGTGATCTTGATATATTTGAGTTAAACCCCTGTATTGTCAGACATTGGAACACTGTTGCAAACGTTTGTTATTTTCAGGGTCAAGCAGTGGCTCAGCTGTGCTCAACTGTGCCTAATGTGACCGTGTTTGGGATCGCCTCGTGTTTCAAACATGCGGCCATCAGAGACTCTGTGACTCACCTCTTTGACAGAAACGTTGATTACATACAAGAGGTGAAAAAGTAAGCATGACAAGTTTTTTTTCTTATTTTAAATCTGATTAGTGGGGGAGTAATCTATTTTCATTTCCTCATAGCGTATTTCCCCAACAATAATTTCTTCATGGAAAATTGCTTTTGCAGCATCATCAGGCGTGGTCGCTGTAGCATTTCACATGCACTATTGTGATGACGTGGACCTTGCTGGGTGCAGATGGTTGTGCGAGGAGGCAGATGTTACCTGTTGCCTTATTTGGTCTTGTGTGGCCTTCGTCCCCATGGCAACTCACTGCTCGTCTGAGAGAGCAGTAGCATTGTGTAGGGCGGAGGTCTGCTCCGGCAATGTGGAACAACTGAGCCAATTAAGGCTGAGCATTGATGCCCTGCACATTCCATTCAGTAGGCAGCACGCCGTTAGCCAGTCTGCACTCCTAAGACAACTCCTTGGAGCAAACACTGCGATTTGATGTGGGTCTGGTACTATTAGAATCTTTTTTTGAACATTGAAAGATTTAGATTACTCAGAGTTACTGTATGCTGTTGAGTAATTACATCAGGATACGTGCACCACACATATGAGACATGTATGATTATGTTTTGGAGTTTTTAACACATTTTATTTTCACGAGCACTCATTGTTTCATGTTTTCTGCCTACGTCACAACAGTGGTAGCGGATTAATGTGCCTTTCATCTCTGTGGCCCACACATTCTTCTCAGGATCAGGAGCAAAGCACAATTAAACGAGTCTTTTTACAGAAAGCAACAACCATGAGAATCACAAGACCTCCAAGCAGTGGAGGCAAGCAGGTGTCCGGGGCCACAAGGCAGTTTCAGGCTGTCGTATCCGTGACTGTAATGACTCTCATTATGGCAAAGCTTTTTGTCTGATTGATTCTGTTTGCGAGCATTAAACCTTGTTGTTACGCCATGTTGCTGATGAGCAGTGATGTGGGTAAAGTACATTTTTATTACTGTAGTCAAAAGTAAAAATGATGGCTTCCTGTCCTGCAACTTTGTTTCAGAGTGAAAGCCCAGAGAATCAATGCTCATGACTTCCAAATCCATGATTGGATGAGACTGCAGCTGCACCAGAGTATGATTCACAGACTGAATATAGAATTCATCTTTTCACTTTTCCATTAAGTGTCCTAATACAATGTGCTAATGTGCTGATACACTTAGGTCAATAAATTGACCTTTGACTGCACTTCTCACCCAAAAGCTGAAATGGTTGGTTGATCAACCGGATAGTCAATGGCCCCGAAAAGAAGTCTGAAAGCAAACTCATTGTCATTACCAATTAATCTTCAAGCTTCAAGGTCAGAGAATAGTGAAACTCTCCTGAACCCAAGGATACTCCCTCTAGTATTATAAAATCTTCAGAAAAGCTGCAAATTATATTTAAATAATTACTTATTTCATTTATGTCAATCATTTTTGATGAACTTCAATTTCCCTTTGTTCTCTATGTTTTAGGATTTCTCCAGAGGGAGTGGACATTGTGTTGGACTGTCTGTGTGGGGACAACACAGGGAAAGGCCTGACTCTGCTCAGGCCTTTGGGAACCTACATACTCTACGGTGGGAACACAACTTGTGTTTTCTAGTTAGTACTTTCCTAGTGGAAATAACTCATTTTGCATTGTTTTTTTGTGTGTAGTTGCTGTTCTAGGACAATAAATTGTCTAAAAAATGTTAAAACTGTGAGGGGGAGGTTTGTTTGGACAGGGCTAAGCTAGCGGTGTCCACCTGCTAAGCTAAGCTCACAATCTGCTTTTGTATTTCTAACAGACCGTTATGTGGTTGGTGATCGTTTTCTAATCCAAAACCTCTCCTAAGAAAAACGGATAACTCCCATATTATCACACTATTAAATTAAACACAAGTCTTGCCTTATTGTATTGTGTTGGCAGCCAGACAACGAAGAGAAACTCATCTGAATTAAACATACTCCATCCGTAGACTGGAAATTAAATGTATTTATTCAAAGCTACCATGCTTATATCTGACAAGTGTTAATTACTGTAGTTTGTGCTGAGCCTCATGAATCAAGTAGCAGCATTAGAGGGGGATAAATTAATTAATTAAATCATTAGTTTTAGTTGTGGTGATTATGTGCATGGCATGCTTTCACAGATCCAAGGGTCTAAAGGTGCCAACAATTCCTCTCCCAACTTCACCGTTTTTGCAAGTCTGCCTGTTATTGACAAGTCACTTCTTCCCAGCATTTTGCACATCAAGCCTTTTATTTTTGTTTTTTCAGGCGCATCAAACATGGTAACTGGGGAAACAAAGAGTTTCTTCAGCTTTGCAAAATCTGTGAGTCAGAGATGACGTCTATTATCAACGTTGGAGGGAAAGAATTCTACCCTGTGAACATTTCATCATTTCAACCAAACACACAAATGTGTCCTTCCGGTTGAACGTGTCTCTCTGTGCTTTTCTTGTTCACCAGTGGTGGCAGGTGGAGAAGGTGAACCCTATAAAACTATACGAGGAGAACAAGGTCATAGCGGGATTCTCGCTGCTTAACCTTCTCTTCAAACATGGGAAATGTAGTCTTGTGAAATCCGTGATGGACAAACTCTTGTGTCTCTATGACCAAAAGAAGATCAAGCCGGTCGTGGACTCCCTATGGGCGCTGGAGGAGGTAAGACACTGACGGGATCACAGGGTTTAAGACAGCGAAGAAGTCAACGATGATCCAAACTAAAAGTGAGCTAATTACGGTAGTTATAGAAACGGGGATTTTCAGTGAGGATTTCGTGCATCTTGGACAGCATATAATCTTTGTTACTGCTGCTTTCTGTGGGACGTTGTCATCTGTTCTTTGGACGTTCGTCCACAGATGGTGGGTAGGTTGTATTATCACAATTATTTCACACCAACACAAACATAATGTACATCAATCATTTTACTTTCTACACGCTCTTTTAGCAGTGGTTCTTTCCTTTCTAGGAGATCTTTGTACACTCCTTCACAAAGATATTTTGTAATTACAATAGCTACTTTTCACATCGACTTCAACCAGTAGTAGTGCAACGTGTACTGGCTTAGTTTTTGATTTTGGCTCAGGACACCACGCATAACTGTTGCAGTCCTGAGTCATTTTGTGTCCCCTGTTTTTCACTCGGTGTTGAAGCACTATGACCATCACCCATGGTGCTTTCAGACACAACACGGTTGGAGCTGCTCTTGCCCCAGCACGCTGCGCCCACTGCTCAACCATTACTGGTTTATTATGTTTGCGACACCCTTTAGCGGGCCATTACCTTTCACATCCCCGTCGCATAAAGAAAAAACTCTTTACCTGCAGGGCCTGTAGACTGGACACAGAGGGGTAGCAGAAACATCTAAACCTTCATGACATGTCTTATTTCTTGTTGGATGATTTAGTATATTTTGAGACCTCTTTTGGTTAGATCAGAAACAAAGACAAACATGGAAAAACATGTAAACAGCTCATTGCAGTTTGAATATTACAGTTTTCCTCATATTGGTTCTTGAAGTGTGCTGACATCACAAATGTTATTCTGGCTTAGCTTTGTGCAACTGCAACCTAAGCAGAGGCTTAATTAGATGGAGTAAGTGAAGACACCGGTGTGGGTGTGTGTGGTATTGGCACCAACATTAAAAATCACTCTACATGAAATATACATTAGACCTATTTCACAGCAGGAAGGTTGACTGCCAAAGTAGGAAAGGAACACGTAATAAAACATGCTTGCTTAGTGTTTTATATTTGTTACTGCTACAGCGATTTCAGATTCTTTTTTTACCTTACAGCACTTGGCCTAATTGTTCCAGTGATGTAAGAAAAAGCCACCAAACACATCCTTACTGAGCCTCATTTAAAGTAAAAGTTAGGAATTTATTCAGTGCAGGTAACCCACGCAAGAAGCTGATAACAAGTCATTCTGAACTTTGTAGCTGCAGTCAAAGAGATGACCGGTTGATGAAGTGTTTTTTATTCATCATGGAAAACTGCACCGGTACAGCTTGTCATTAAAGGTTGGCACATTGTCAGGCCATTCACTGGAACCGTTGGCCATGAAGAATGTCTTTGGAGGGGAGGCTGGCGTGGGATGTAGTGTCAAGGTCGCAGCCCGCTCTGTTGTTCATATGCCTGGACGGAGAGATCAGGGGGGCGTTAGTTTACATGTTAACCATGGCAACCTTTTTGTTTTCTGGAATGAAAAGTTGGAGATTGTGTGACAAAACAAAATTAACTGGACCACTAGCAGTTTTAGTCAGAAAAAAACAACAACAGTTCCAAGGTCAATGCTGTTTAGGATTTTTCAGAAATGTAGTTAAACCTACATGCAGTTTCTTGCAGATATTGTTTTAAGCCCCATTACACCCACAATGCAAGTGAATCTCACTCCCTCGCTGCTGACCTATTTTTGGTTTGGCTTCATTTGGCTTTTTCTTTTAGCAAACAAATGTTTGTGGCACAATGGCGTCCAGACAAAGAGGCACATTCAGCTGCCTCTTTGTCTGGACTGTAATGAGAAAGCAAGATATGGCATCCTTAGTTATCTTTGGTGTTGTGCGATTGTTTATCTCTGCAACAAGTGAGTCAGACAAGCTTTAATGAGGAGCATGGGTGTTTCATAGTGCACGGGTTTTGATCTACAGCTGCGTTTGTTTGTTGTTGGAAATGGTTAAGACGATGTCATAGTAAATTCACTAAGTGAGTTCAATAAGTTCATTATTTTCCTGCATATGCAAACTTGATTACACTATGATTTGATCACAGATGGGGTGCTCTACTCTGATGGTAGACTGAAGCATTTAAGTGTTGTTTAGTTGAAGAAAATCAGGAAAGTGAAAGACATATGGTCTATATAGCTGGAATACGATTTACATTTGAACAAAATGGGTTGCGACTAATGTTACATCTAAATATTCAATAAATCATCCATACGATAATTATTATAACTTCTTTTCATACTTAATAAATTAAACAAAAATGAATGTCTTCATTCCTAGGGATATTATATTTCAGAGATTAGGACTTTTTAATCTTGGTGTAACCTCCTTCCTACTTTCCAATGTATTTTAAGTGTTACAAACTGCTTCCTGTTAAAGAGCTGTTATTGCTAAGTGAAAGCGTTTTTTGCACCCTTGTTTCTTTCACATTTAGTACAAAATGTTACAGTTCAAACTATTAAAATTGTGTCTCTGCTTTGTGTTTTTCCAAAAACTTAAATGTACCATCCTAATACCGTTTAAAAACGAGAACCTGAAGAACTAAAATAGTCAATATTTTATATTCAGTGTGATCAAATGAAATCAATATTTGATATTGATTAATATTTCAATATTCTGTATGTATGTTGCTAGTTCTGCTTGAAATCGAGTTATTGTTGTGTTTTATTGTTATTCTCAGGTAAAAGAGGCCATGCAGAGAATCCATGACAGAGGCAACATTGGGAAACTTATCCTGGATTTTGAGAAGTCTCCCACCCCTCTGGTAATGTTGTTACGGCTTAAGTATTATTGCATTACTTGCAGGAAGGAAGTTGTATGGAAACATTAATAGAAAGATGTTTCTAAAGATGTTGAACTTTCAATATAACTCGAAAGTTGTATTGAGTATTATATGGCATTGATGGTTGATAATATACAATTTACAGGAAGTGGAGAAAAGGGTAAGATTACAATAATTGGGCGAAAAACAAAATGATGCACATCACAGAACCATTTTGAGGGAGTTACATTACTTATAGAAGATGCAAGAAAACACGAATCCCTTGTTTCTTATTTATTTGGCAAACATTTTAAAAAAACATTTTAAGTAAAGTCTTATTCTCAGAAAACCCTGTAGTATTGGATTCACTGATCCATGTGTTTAATTTACCACACAGTTAATTTGCTTGCTGACACACTTTCATATTTGTTGTTAATGATGCCTACAACACATTTTCAAGCCCATTAGGCGTCACAAGGAGGCAGTTAGTAGGATTCTCTGCTGTTTTATGGCACTCGTTTCCATGGTGATATTCACATTGAACCGAGGAACGCTATTAGATGTCGAGCCATGTTCGTATTGAAAGTATAGACCTTGTCTAGAGCTGCCCATTGGCATTGGAGGAAACATTTTAAAAAATGGCCTAATCACGTCGTGTCAAATCAGACTGTTCCTCTGTATTGGCAGCTCAGCATACAGTTCATGACAGCTGAATATGATTTCACCACTAGATGGCCAGCGACAGCACAGAGACCAGCGAGGCAGGAGAGGAAGAGGAGGAGCCAGAGGGCGATAACGACAGCAAGGAGCGAATGCCTTTCATCCACTGAAAAGACGTAGCGACTGCAGAGGCTGCGCACACTCACCAGAGGAACACGACAGCACGTGTGTGTGTATGCATGCGCTGTATGCATGAATGGATGTATGTACAGTTTATGTTTGCATCTTCGTCTTTTACCTCTACATTGTTCGTCAGCTTAATGGTCAAGAAAAGGTTTTGAGTGAACCAAAACAAACAACAACAACATGTTTGTCACCCAGGCAGACAGGTGCAAGTTCCATTGTCAATATAGTATTTTATTATTTATGGTCTTATGAAGTCATGTAATGCTGGCCCATAGTGTAATTGCGTCTATTTCACAATGAATAACCGTGTATTGACTGAATGATCATTAAATCCTGCTGAGTAGCTATTATCACTTTAGAAACTGAGTTACTAATGCAAACAAAGATCACACATTATAACAAGCTTCAATTCAAAGTCCTAACGCTTCACAACCCAGAGCTATTTGATTCTCACCTCTCCTCAGTGATGACAGCTGTAAAATAAAAGCAAACGATTAATACACGTTTGAGAAAATGACAACTCCAAAGTTTTGATGCTTCCTACCGAGAGAGTGAGTTGCCTTTTTATGTTACAACAGTAATGTGCACAAGAGGTAGAGAAGTCTGTGCGTAGATATTTACATCATGTTTCATTCTTAAGGCCCAACTTGTGTTATATGGAATGACCAGTGCCTTCAAGCTACACAGCAGCGTTTGGTACTTGAAATGCTCTTTGTCCAATGTTTGTATCGAACAAACCAACAGCATAGGTATTTTCAACTGGAATAGAAAAGGAGATGTTAAATCTATTAACTGAATCTGCGGTGCCACCAGATACCTTTTTACATGGTCGGTTGTTGTTCCCCTCTTCACTGTATATTCAGAACTTTGTATATGACAGCATACAGTGGTACATTTAGGGAAAGGTCACAGACCTTATATATACTGTATGTAAATACAAGAAAACATAGTATAAATCAGTGAATCAGTCAGTCACTAATTCGCTTGTCTGATCATTGTTTACTGGTGCCTCACAACAAAAGTGCCATACGACTCCAACATAAGTATTTTTCCCAATGTGTTGGTTTGTCATGGGGGCGCTGCTCAGACCTACGTCTGAGAAACTTGTATTTCTTTGTTTAAGTCCAATGCTTTCTGCTGTACTCCAAATCATACACATATTCAATGGACTGTTTTCATTTTCAATTATTTTAAGTAAAAACACATTGTTTTTACTAATTCTCCGGCCTTATTCAGTGTGCTTTATATTGGCCAGTCGTCTGAATTGTTCATTACGTTACTTGAATTAATAAATTAAAATCAGCATATGTGTCAAAAAGTATTTTCTCAAATATGAAACAAGGAAACAAATCACATAATCGTGCCATTTTAAGAAATACAATACTTGTATCAACGTAGTATCCCCATTACCAACACTGCATGCTTTGAAGTTCAATGATAAACGCTGGAGAGACAACTTTCTTTTTTCTCATTTCAGAGGTTGACTTGTAGACTAGGAAGTAAGGATAATGATGCTTTTGATGCCCTTTAGTGTCAGGTCTGTTGTGTGTGTCTGTGTGCGAGAGAGAAAGTGCATGTTTTTTGAGTATATTGTTAAAAAAGAATAGAAGGGTTTATCGCTGTAGTTTGTTCACAAAATCCCGTATAAACTAATTAACCTGTGGTCGTATATATTTTTGTCATATTTTCTCTTTTATATTTTCTTTGAGAAAGTGCACCTCTGTTTACTTGAATAAATGTATCAGCAAAGTATGTCGCAATTGGGTCTCTGCTTCAGTTCAATATTTTTATTTATTTCACATGAGATTCATATGCTCCACTTTTTCTCCTTCAATATATCATCCAATAAATGTAACATGGACTACTGATGAAATACCTATTCTGTACAGTCCCTATGTTTGGCACCAGATGGCAACAAAGTAAAGGATTTTTTAAATTTACTTTTAGTGGTTTGATGTTTCTGTGACACTGAACTAAGGAACTACAGTAAATGTGTAAACGGAGTTAATGATTAGCCGTTGTGTTTTCTGTTCATCGAACAACTGTTGACCTCTGCAAAGATCTTTCCTCATAGTAAAGCCAGAGCCAGTGCATACGCTGTTACCACAACTGCTGCAAACGGAAGTTTCATTTGTAGATCAATGCATTGACCATCTTAGTCATGAATTGTTGATTAAACCACAACTATTGGTGATTTTTCTCATAGGGTAAATATGATTCCAGTGTTACCCACTTGGTGGAATGAGAGAAGTGTTTGTATAAATTACATTGGAATACCATTCAATAATTTGATGTACAGCATATTTTTTATTTTTCAGCCTTTATTTATGTTTAAATATTTAATAGAGCTAATCTTTAGAAAAATACAAAGTAAAGACAGTTACATTTTGTAATTGTATTTCTATACTAAGCCTATATGCCAAAAGGTTTTTCTTATTTAACTCTACTCCCATCTGTATACAACATCTCACTCTAAAAATAGCTTTCCACCCCAGCGGGGAGCTGCACTTCCTCTGGTTTTATAACAGCTTTATTTTGAGAGATTATACAACTGCACGTCTGTGTGATTGGAATATTCAAAATGCACTTTGTCTACAGAGAATTGATAGAAGCAACATTTACTCATAAGTTGCCATGTGCCGAAGCAGTAAATTACTAGTGTGCACCGCTTAGTGTACATGAAGTTTATATCTTACATCATTTGAAAGTTATACGAGCTGAAGCCACGGTGCACGTTTTTTTTTTACATGTCAAAGGTGATTTAACGTGTCCAAAACCGCCATGGATCACGGGTGTGATGACCATTACACTAAAAGCAGTCAACAAATTTCCAGTTTGTTTGTGAAATATAAAAGGAATACTGCTCACCGCCCCTTGTCCCAAGTAAATATTTATCAGAAGCCAGACACAAGGAAATCCTTATTTGCCACTCCACCCTTATACCTTCATCCCTGCCTCCTGATGTTTGGACTAAACATGTGGAGCCAATGCAGAGAGAGTACCCACACAGAGGGGCCAGTATATATATATTGAGCTGCGTGCAGTGGTTTTGGTCTCTTTCACGGCTCTACAAGGTGTGCCACTGTGTGCTGTCACTGCAGGGCCCGCTGGCCTCAGACATGGCTCGTCTTGTCCTCCCTTTCCTCTTTGCTCTTTGCTTCTTGCTCCACCTCAGCTCCAGCCGTCCATCTCGCAGCAGGAAAGCGGTGTCACCCCGTCAGCCTGGAGGTAACTATACGCACAATTCTTAAATGAAATGCCTGCCTCCGATGCTCATCTGATCCGTTGCCCTTGGGTCTGGCGTGGAGAAGCAGCTGCAGAAGATGAGGTGAAGTCCCAGCTTGAGAGGTTGTGGCGGGAGGTGAACTCACTGAAGGAGATGCAGGCGTTGCAGACAGGTACTACCTCATTAACGGAGTACAAAGACAGAGGAGAGGAATAAACTATTCATAAGCATTACTGCACTTCAGTATGTTTTAGAAAGAAAATAAATTATGGGACAATGGCTGGTTGATGGTATTGTGATTTAAGGTTGTATTATAAATACATGATAGAGCTTTTTCCCTACCAATGAGCCACTGTGAAAGATTGCAGACTTACTTCGGGAAGCTATTGTTACATTTTGAACTCCATGGCGTGCTGAATGCCCAGCAGAGAGCAGCAGAACTCTTATCAGCCGTTCATTTGTATACTAAAAGATTGAATTGCACAAAGGGAATCATTTTATTGACAAACATGAAGATTATTATTCTTATAATTGTGTGTATTTTTATTTTGAATACCTTGAGTTGACCATATCAAAATACTATAAATGTATTTATAAACTTAATGTTATGTATTATGTTTGATCCTTTTCTTGGTTGAATAATTACTGACTAATGAGACTGTGAACGCTTTCTGAGTTAATGACTATGGCTTCGGAAATGGTTACAAATTATTTTGTGGATTGCAAAAAGATAGAAATGAAATAGAATAAATTACAATTAACATTCACTCACGAAAGGAAGTGCTTTGTGTTTTCAGTCTGTCTCCGTGGTATCAAAGCGCACAGGAAGTGTTATCTCACAATTGAGGAACCCAAACATTACCATGAAGCAAATGAAGACTGCATTGCACAAGGGGGAACTCTTGCAACGCCACGGGACCTGACGGAAAACAATGACCTCAGGGACTATGCAAAGAGGAGCGCTCCTGGATCCAGGGACTTCTGGATCGGTGTAGCAGACATCGTGAAAGAAGGCCAGTATGTTGATGTCAACAGTCTGCCAGTCAGCTACTTCAACTGGGACCGCTCCAAGAAGCAGCCCACAGGAACCAACAGGGAGAGCTGTGTTGCTCTTTCAGTAGTTGCACAAGGAAAGTGGTACGATGAGGTGTGTCGCAGCCTCAAAAAGTACATCTGTGAATATGTTATTCCCTAGAGGATAAAAATAGGTTGTTGACAACTTGATGATGGTTTGTGCAATAAATTCATTAAAAATGTGTTGTCAAATCTGTGCTAATTGACAATGAAAACATGACTTGTATTTTGAAATTTGTTATCTTATTCGAATAAGGTTATTAACTAGGTTGCTGATTAGCTTTAATTCACTAGCAATTGTTATCATTAAAGGAGATCTATGTTTGAGAACAGCTACATCAGACTACTTGTTCAAAATAACTAAATGACTAAACTGCAGGAAATGTTGTCCATTCTGGACCAAATAATATATGTACTTTTCTACGTTAAGTCTGATTTCTTCATCATCGGTGTATATAACATTTATAAATTCGTCTTCATAAACTCATGTTCCCCAGGTTAAAACAGTTCAATCTGAAATAATGCTGGTGTAGTGATTTACTCATGGGTATAATATCAATATTAGGAGGGAAGTTATGTTCAACCTTTTGATATAAGTGATCTGAGTAGCACAGCGAAGCTCTGATGAAAAAGGTTGGTTCGTGTTCTTTAACCCCTTCTCACCCAAACTGTAACCCCAGACTTAACTGCAGCACCAACGTTTAAAAAACAGAATATCACATAAAACCTAAATAATTTCAACTGTATCCAGACGTAATCTACCTATCTTATAAATTTGAAATAAGTACGTAATTTAGGTAAAAATAAATTTAAACAAACACAGAATGAAAAGATATAAAGGAAAAGGAAAACGTTGACCTTTATTGTTATGAGGTGAACAGTTATATATCCATTTAAAATGTTGAGTTTTACATATTTTAATTTCCCCCCGAAAAGTAAATGCGCCTTGTTTACTAATCCTGCGTATTGATGTTTTCTGTGCATCTGACAGCACTATTGACAGCGCTGCATGTCAGTGGATGTCAGTTGTCTTTCACTCTAATACAGCAAATTGCTGAAAAAATTGCTGTGATCTGTGTGAATTAAAAACAATAACACCCCCACACGCGCACGCACGCACGTACGTACGTACGTGCACGAACGTCGACGTCACTCTGCCTCACATATCACGCACGCTCGTTCGGGTAGAATGTGACGCCAAAGCTCCCTGAGTGAAGTCTCACGGAGTAAAACAACGGCCATCTTTCTCCATGTAGTGCTTGGGTAGCATTACCGAGCGTGTTGCTATCACTTTGAGAAGCCTACAACTTTTGACAAGTTCAGTATTATCATCCAAGTGACTAAACTTACTACGAACCGGTCACAAAGCATGTTTGTGTTTACCGCAGCAAAGTTTTTTCGCTGACATCCTTGTCCGGATAGATACTTGCCTAAACTGTCGCACAAATGGAGATGGTGCCTAACGAGGAGAACCAGTTCGTACCCCAAGAGGTGAGATTATCGTGGACCCTGAACATGTTGGAGAACCGACCTCGAGACGTTAGCTGTCAACCGTGTAGACCGGGGTCGTTAATAGCGGCAACCCTTTGGGAGTTTGCGATCTTGTTGTATCATTTAGAGGCTATCCCTCTGCTAATAGTTAGCATTGACGTTAGCCAAACATGACTTGGACGGCCTATCACGACATGCTAACCAACCTTATAGATAGCATTAGTTAGCGGCTAGTTTCGCTAGCTAACGTCACCTGTCTAACAAAGTGAGTCTAAGGTAGCTAAAGCTTTAGCCTTGTCGTTATTTAGTTACCCTAGCTTTCAGTTTTGGTTTTCTTATCATCGACGTTGTGAGTTGTGAGATACTTTTTTGGTTGACATTATGTTATCCCCCGAACAAAGACGACTTTAGATAGCCAACATGCAAGTGACGGCCGTTGTTGTGCTATAAAGCTAGAAATAGCGTTAGCTTTTTAGGTCTGGTGAATGACATCTGCCTCTAGCTAACCAATAGCTATTTGGATGTTTTTGAAGTTGCTAAACCAAATTCAAATAGCTACGTCGCTTTCCCTGATTGCCAGTACCAATTCAAAAGCAGATATGTTACGTTTAACGTTAATCTACAACGTCGCTTTAATTCAGCGTCGTGGGTGTAGCAGATTATTTAGAATGTATCTTGTAGCCTTAGTGTTAGCATTAATATTAGCTATTGCTACGTGCTAGCTAAAGCTAACGGTAACGGATTTCACTTGCTAACCTTAATGTAACGTTAGATGCAGGTACGTGTAATATAACATTAATCTTTATGTTTATCCCTAATTATTGATTACAAACATTCGCCATTCCCATTAAGACGTCCTTGATTAACTTATTGGTCACAAGATACTTAGCCGTTGCTTGTTTGTCCTGCCATGTTTGCCTTGGTGGTTAGCTGCACTTTTCTAACTTAAAGTTGGATGAAAACATCGTCTTTTACTCTTCGATGGTTCGGTTTTGTCATGTTTCCCTAACTGTACAACATGAATCGTTCGTAGTTGTTGTAAACGACACATTTCCATCTGTTCTCCAAATGCCAATTTGTAGGCTGACGTGTTTTTCTCGTGAACAGTGTTATGTTAACGTCAACATCCTGCAGGACACCATTACTGTTGACATGGTAGTCATGTTTACGTGTTATTGTCACTTGCATCTAAGGGTTGCTACAAGTTGTCTGGAGACCCCATACGGATGGTTTTATGTGACTGCATATACGTCAGTTGCAGGGTCATACGTCATGCATAAGACGTCACTCGTTGATGTGACTGGTGAGAAACAAGGATGTAATTACTCACCACTGCGCACGTACGATTTTTCATTCAGTTTCAAGGTAACGACGCAACCTTTAGTGATCCAGTTATCATTTGATAAAATCAACCTTGAGATTGTGTGGATGAAATCAGGGTATTTGCTAATCTTTTTTTCAGCAAAGCAGGAATATATTAAAGCTTTCAGCATTGAAAAAAATCAAAAAGATAATGAAATAAGCTGATCATTTTTGTATCTCAGACTTTCCTTTAATTATTTAGACTTGCTTGTAGGACAGGAACACAAAACCTAGTGAAATATTACTTCATTACTTTAGCTCTGTCACTGCAATCGAAGGCCACTCAAATTTAACTGACTCATGTTAAGGAAGAAAACATGATCTCAAGTGTAAATCATTTGAGCTACAGTTTTGTGTTGAAAGTGGATGACAGCGGCGGTGTGTGTTCTGGGATACCAGAGGTCCCCTGAAGCTCTCTGCTGATGCTGTGGGCCCAATTAAAAGAAATATTTGTGAGGAGCAACACACTCCCACATGCAATGACATAGCATTTACTAGAAACAGAATTGCTTTCTCATTTAATTAGAGTATTAAATATTAGCATTTCCTTATGCCCTGTGAGGCCCTTATTTCCTCATCTCGGATTTTAGGATCCATGTTAACTTATTTTTAACAGTCCCTTATCTCGTGACAAAAATGGAATCCCCCATTTATCATACACCGCCAGTTTGTAACGCTCTGAAAGCATTATGTATAAACAAGCTGAAGAATACAAAATTGTTGCATATTGGTCATTTGAATAAGATTATTGATTACACCATAACATTTCTGTTCTTTTATGTTCTTGTGTTTGTGACATGCAGTAGTATTTACATTACATTTCTGCTGGTTGCTGACAGTTCCCAACAATCTAGTCTGTCATTATTTTGGTGCCATTTAGAATCACTTACAGCTGTAAAGAAATGCTCCCTGTACTTTGCAGTACCTGTGGCTTCATGTCAGCACCTCGTGATTTTATCCACGGTAAAAATAACCTTTAATCTCATAATACACTTGTGTGTTGTCAGTTGCAGCCACTTTATAGTCAGTCAAATATTTTTGCTCGGATTACAGACTTCAAAAAGTCGCAAAACCAGAATTTAATATATTTCCTGTAACTATCCCCCTTGTGTCAGCCAAGAGGTTGATTTGGCAGCCCAACAATAATAGTTGTAGGCTTACAAGTCTAATGTAATCTTTTACAATACACTTTATTGTTGTTTCTTTAAAAGTTGTTTTCCACTCACTGTATCATTAGGGTGTGTTTCGGCGTTGCAGACAGAATATGTTTGATGAGATCAAGAGGATTTCTCAGGTACCTTTGCCTGGTGTTTGCAATGGGAGAGAGATAATGCTAATGCATGTTATCAAATAGATGCATGAAGCAGCACCAAGCTGATGTTCTTGGCTTTATCAAACAACAAAAATTGAAAATTTCTAAATGTTACTACATCTGTTCATGACTTGAAATCACTTTTTCATGCAATAGTTCATATAAATTATATATAGAAATATGAAAGCTTGCTCTGTTAATTGTTAATCGCTAAGGATAAGAACACTGGCCGCGCTTTGTCTTCCCAGGCTCGTTATATTGGCGCTTGTTAAGTGAGTCTTTCTTTCAGTCTGAAAACTGAGCCTGAACAACAACAGTACATACTCCAATTAGAAACACTTCTTTGTGTACTGCAAGTGTCCTGCTGTGTCTTGAAACCATTTACACTGTGTGTTATACTCAAATGAAGCATGTGTAAGCAGGTGCATGGGTTTGGTATTTTTCACAACACAATGTGGAAAACTGGAAAGCAAGGACAAGGGGGTAGGTTTGTCACATGTAGGTTACCTGCCGGCGCCTATATATGAGAAAATTATGAATCATGAACTGTACCGTCTGCTTGATAAGAGGCCTGGCTTTCAATGCAAATTCCTATGAAGCCTTGAGGAAATAGAACGATGGATGAGAAAATATGAGTTGCCTTTACTATGCTATCACTTTTAGAGATAAGCTCCTTTGTGTCACCAAGCAGTTTGTTTTATTATGAAGAAAGTCTATTTCCTGTGTGCAACAAAAGCCCAGCACAGATTTTACCGTTTGGTCGTTTTTAGAAATCCAGCTGTATCTTTTCCAGGAATGTAACCAACTGGTACCAAGTAGGTCATATTTGTACTCTGCACCGGTGTCTTCCTGAAGCAGACATTAGTTTCACAACCGTACTAACCATTTATTCCAAGGCGTGACTTTTCACAAGTTTGGCCAATGCTTCACGTTGATGTCGTTCTTCTTGATTTGCAGATCCAAAATGCAGCAGAAGAGCCCAGGGTGCTCTGTATCATCCAGGACATCACCAGTGCAAAGACGATCAATGAGAGGCTGACCCTCAATCTGCCTGCTTCCACCTCCCTCTCCAAACTCTACGAAGATGTCGCCCACAAAGCGGGATATGTGAAAGACACTTTTGACCTTGCCTGGGGAAATACACCTGACATGGTTAGGAAATGAATTACTCAAACTTTCTGTCTGCTTCTCTCTGATGTCGCTTTTTCCAAAATGTTATCGTACTCATGCAGGTAGTGCGATGGCAGTTTGGGCTCCGCGATAGCTCTGACGGCGTAGCGGCCGGGCTTTGGTTGGTGTGGTTGAGTTCAGGTTGGGTACCGGACAAGTGAACTCTGAGATTCATGAGCCAGAGTTTGCAGTTGCTCTTCACTTGTCCTTCATTTTAAAATAAAATATATTTTTTTGTCTAGACTCTATGTCCTGGGCACTCCCACACTGTGAACGCTTTGTGACAAGAGGTTTTTTTATTTTTTATTCATGCTTTCAGTGTTCAAACATCTGTTCCACCAGCTCGCTTCTCCGCTAAAATAAAAACTAAATGTGTACAAACGGTTTTGCTGAGAGAAAGCACTTTTTTCAATGAAGTGCAAGTGATCAGAGTGAGTTGCAAACGTTATTTCGCTGTAGTTATTTGCGGGTCAGAGATTCTAATACAAGCACTCACTCGGGCCGATATGAGAGCTTATCAGCACCATCAAACACGGACAAAATATGCGTCAATCAACCACGCAAATCACTAACTTCATGCATGCAGGTTAGCGCGATGTGCGTGCAGCAGAATTATGTATTACCACTAAAATCATATCACCAATACTTTTAATAATATCAAGCCTAATCTTTATAATTTTTGTACAGGCATACCCGGTTTAAACAGAATCATTACAAAATTGTCTCAGCCTTCAAATGTCAATTTAGAATTTAAATGTCAACGCTTCGAACTATTTGGCACAGACCTACTACTCCCTTTTCTTAAATGAGCCCGAGCTAATCCTGCTGCTGACCCGGGCCGAAGCCCAGGTGCTGTGTCTGTTATGTCACTGAGTAGGTCAGTGGATTAAGCTCCTGTTTCTACTGCAGCACTTTAGTTGTTGTCCTCAGCTCGTCCCGGCAGGGGGAAAAAGTGTTGCATATTCGTAGGCATTGCTCACATGTTTGCTCCCAGCTACTTTCATCGTATGCGTCAGCACAGAGGATTTTCAGATAATGAGTTCAAGCGGAATTTAAGCCTTCATCAGTGCCTCCAGGTTCTGTACTTGTTTTGTGGCTGTTTACCAAGAATTGTAATTTTCATGTGATTTTTGTTTTTCCTCTTGTCTTCCTTCAGGCGCCCCTGGACCACAGCAGTGAGGCGACCCTCTCAGATTCTGGTTTTGAGCCTGGTGGTAAGAAGAATTTCCTCCAGCTCACAGATAAAGATGGAGAGCAGCCACAGATTGCATCGGTAATATCATTTTTCTATACGGTTAGATGTATTTTTTTTTTTTAAATTACTTTTTAAAATAATGTCCCCCTCTGTATGTTTGTGTGCAGGATGAATCAGGAACAGCAGATAGCAGTGGACTTGATGACAGCTCTCAAGAGCGGTTTATTGGGCCACTGCCTAGAGACAGTGCTGCAGGCAGCAGTGGAGACTACAGTAGTCCATCTTACTCCTACTCGTCCATCCTCAACAAATCTGAAACGGGTGAGATTTTGTCACCTGTTGAATATGTGATCTCACTCTTTGTTATTCAACCTCAACTGTCTTCTTGCTTTTTGTCTGTTGCCCCCCCCCCCCCCCCATCGCTGTAGGTTACGTGGGTTTGGTCAACCAAGCTATGACCTGCTATCTGAACAGTCTTCTACAAACGCTGTTCATGACCCCCGAGTTCAGAAATGCACTCTACAAGTAAGAAACTACACTCATACATATCTTTGAAGGAAAGGTGTACCTGCGAAGTACCACATCTGAAATTGTTTTGTAACTTTTGCCCAACCTAAGCTGGGAGTTTGAGGAGACTGAAGAGGATCCAGTCACTAGTATACCACACCAGCTGCAAAGGCTGTTTGTTCTGCTGCAGACTAGTAAGAAACGGGCAATCGAGACCACTGATGTGACACGGAGCTTCGGCTGGGACAGCAGCGAGGGTGAGCATTCGCACGCCCCTGTGACCGCGTGCCTCGGCGTCTGCACAGTCAGTCATACTTCTTGTGCGCCTGTCTTTTAGCTTGGCAGCAGCACGACGTGCAGGAGCTGTGCAGGGTCATGTTTGACGCCTTGGAGCAGAAGTGGAAGCAGACGGAGCAGGTGGGAGAAAGGAAAACCTTTTCCAAAGGGCCATCATTTGAAATCTATAAAATTCCTCCCCTCCCCCGCCCCGCAGTAAAAACAAAAGACCTACTGTGGGAAAGTAAAACGGGCCAGTAAGCCTCAGGGTTGGCTGTTTTCTGTTGTCTCATCTAGGGAGTGTAAAAGGACCTGCACACAGTTAATCCAGTGTGTGCAATCACAAAACTCAATTTGGGTTGAATCACGGGTTTGAGTCTCCGGTCGGATCAACTGAAAAACAAGGAGCAAAAATAACTTTTAGAGATTTTGTTTTTTGATTAAGACAGCTGTTTTATTACAGCAGCTGGACACCCCTGAAAGTGCAGCAAACAAATGAATACCATTATGACGTCAGTGCAAACCGTCAAAAACCGTTTCCATATTCGTTTGCTAGTCATCTGTAGTGTTATTTAAAAATCCGCAATTGAAATTACATGGAAATGAAATATTTTCATCTATCTTGGTATTATTAGTTTTATTCAAATATAAGCTGCTTAGAGCTGGTGTTAGGAAGTTAAGCAGGTCAAATATATGTTGCAGTGGAAACGCCACATTCAAGCAACCAGATTTATTTAACATTTAATGCATCTATTTTTAATCCATGGACAGTTTTGGATGGCAGGGAGTGTCGCACAGAAATCATTGCACACTGGTTCCACTTTTTAGTGAGAGAATGTAGCAGGGTGAGAACACTTTGTGGTCCAGACAAATTATTTTTTGTTAACTCTAAAAGATGGCTGACGAGATCTGACTGTCGTGCCTCCATTTCCTCAGGCTGACTTGATCAACCAGCTGTACCAGGGGAAGCTGAAGGATTATGTCCGTTGTCTGGAGTGTGGCTATGAGAGCTGGAGGATTGATACCTACCTGGACATTCCTCTTGTAATCAGACCCTTTGGAGCCAGCCAGGCCTACGGCAGTGTGGTGAGTCGTCTCTCCTTATTTCATTCCTTTTAAACCTTTAACGACCGGAAACTGAAGCACTCATTCCATATTTTGGATTTACAACCATATTAAGGCCCTTGATTCAGTGGATGCAGCTCATTTTAATACAGTTTATGCCCATTTAAATATTTTGGCTTCCAAAAGATTTTATTTATTTATTTTCCTGTAACAGGAAGAGGCTTTGCAGGCATTCATCCAACCAGAAACTCTGGATGGGCCCAACCAGTACTTCTGTGAACGCTGCAAAAAGAAATGCGACGCCCGTAAGGTGAGCGCAGGGACAATGTGACATGGGACTCGTGTTCAGTGAAGATGGTTGTGACCTTGATAAATGCTTCTCTTTACAGGGTCTGAGATTTCTGCACTTCCCCTACCTGCTGACACTGCAGCTGAAACGGTTTGATTTTGACTACACCACCATGCATCGCATCAAGCTTAATGACCGAATGACTTTCCCCGAGGAGCTGGATATGAGTCCATTCATCGACGTGGAAGATGAGGTGAGGACGGATATTGCTGTCCATCACAATTCTGATTCAAAAATGAATACCCAGAATATTATTGTCCATCAATCTCCAATCAACTATAAATGCACATAACAAGGTCACACACCCTACTTAATTCAAATGAGCTCTTCCGTTATAGTGTTTGAAATTGCCTCCTTCAGAAGTCGCCTCAGACAGAGAGCTGCACTGACAGCGGAGCAGAGAATGAAGGCAGTTGCCACAGCGACCAGATGAGCAATGATTTTTCCACCGATGATTGTGTGGATGAAGGCATCTGCTTGGACAGCACTGGCAGCACAGACAGGGCGTTGAAGCCAAAGGTACTTGTCCTGAATGCTCACTACAATCATGATGTTGTTAATATCCTTGTTTCAATTGACTGGCCGTTGGAGGACAGTGAACTTATTGTCATGTTCAAGAAGCCAGTGTGAGATGATTGCATTATCTCGCTGGAAGAGGGTACACTGTGGGCATAATGAGATGGACGTGGTCCGCAACGATAGGCTGCGGCATTTAAACAGGGCTCAATTGTTACCAAGAAGATATCCCCCCACCAGTACACCACCAGCCTGAACCGTTGATACAAGGCAGCTTTCATGTTGTTTTCCTCACTGACCGGAGGGGCACCCCGTGTGGTGTTCTGCTGCAGTAGCCAGTCTTCCTCGAGGTTCCACGTGCGATCAGAGATGGTGTTCTGCATTTCTTGGTTCTAGCGAGTGGATATTTGAGTTACTGTTGCCTTTCTATCATCTCCAAGCAGTCTGCCTGTTCTCCTCTGACCTCTCACATCAACAAGGCATTTTCGCCCAAAAAACTGCAGCTCACTGGATATTTTCTCTTTTTCGGACCATTCTCTGTAAACCCTAAAGATGGTTGTGTGTGATCAGCAGGTTGTGACTTACTCGCCACACTTGTCTTGACCAGGTTATTCGTTTGTGGGACGTGCGCTCTCTAGCCGCTGGTGAGAGCATCGGTCTGGGCAGAACTGCCATTCGAAACACGCTGTTACACAATCCAACTTGGTTGTTTCTTTTATATGAAGAAGTTGTTTTCTGTCTATTCCCAGAGCTTGCCAATCTTTGAGCTGTTCTCTGTCATGGTGCATTCTGGGAGCGCTGCGGGTGGTCACTACTACGCCTGCATCAAATCCTTCAGTGACGGCCAGTGGTACAGCTTCAACGATCAGCACGTTAGCAAGGTCAGCCTCAGCACTCGAGTAACCGGTTTACTCAGCTTATCCTACTTACATGTCTGTGAGAATGACTCTGGCGGAGGGATGTATCTGTGTTTGGTTGTTACTAAACCAAGCATAGTATCCATGTCATTAAAACCGTTTACATGTTGTAAACATGGTCCGGGCCGTTTGGTAAGATTCCGTGTAATCTGTTGAGCAGATCACCCAAGATGATATCAGAAAGACGTACGGGGGATCATCAGGCACCAGAGGCTACTATTCCAGCGCCTTTGCAAGGTGAGTTGTGTCTCATGGGTTACGGGTCACATGCTTCGTCTGTACTAATACACTTGTCCTTTATGTGTCCTTTAAGTGTCAGAAAACCCCCACAAGCGTCTTGTTTGTCATTCTTTTCCTTTTGTTCCTTTTGAAAACGATATAACTTTTGACACAGAAGTGTATATTTTCTACATATATTCCAATTCACTCCTTAACTAGACATCTTTTTTCTCATCAGCTCTACAAATGCGTATATGCTGATTTATAGATTGAAGGATCCCTCGAGGAATGCAAGTAAGAAATGGATTTTAATGACTTATGCTAAATGTTCTGTAATATTCCCAAGAACTATAGAAAACTACGCCTGTCGGCATCCCAGAGGCTGTGTCTGGCTTATGCAGATGTTTTTTTTAAATATTTCCATCATAATATTACTCTATATTACTTGGGTTGCCTTGACTCTGAAGGTCCTAGAATTACTATCCAGTTTCAACGTGTACCCTGTCTTTCCTGTCTGCAGAGTATTTGGCTGGGGAAGAGTTCCCAGAGCACATAAAGAGTTTAGTTCAAAAGGAGAAAGAGTCTGAAGAGCAGGAAAAGAGACAGCGGGAGATTGAGCGCAACACTTGCAAGGTACGTGGTCCACGTTCGATTGGTTCAACATCTACAGTTTTGCTGAATGAGGATCAGTTGACAGGTTGCTCTTCTTGTAAAACAATCTAAACCTTTACTACTCTCTTGCTTCTTACCTCCAGATAAAGCTTTTCTGCATGCATCCTGTAAAGATGATGATGGAGAGCAAGCTGGAGGTACACAAAGACAAAACTCTCCGAGAAGCAACAGAAATGGCCTATAAGGTGGGCTGGTTTACGATTTGTCTTCACAATCAGTTTTTCCAACAACATAATAAATCAGTAGAGTACAAGCAGGTTTTGGATTGGTATGTTTTGTACCTCAGATGATGGAGCTGGAGGGAGTGGCGTCTCTGGACTGCTGCCGCTTGGTGAAGTACGACGAGTTTCACGAGTACCTGGAGCGCTCCTATGAAGGCGAGGAGGACACACCGATGGGTCTGCTGCTCGGAGGAGTCAAGTCCTCGTATATGTTCGACCTACTGCTTGAGAGCCGCAAACCGGAGCAAGTGTTCCAGCCTTACAAACCTGGAGGTCAGTGGGCTGCTACCATTTAGCCATACTCCTCTTGTACCGTGGTGTCAAGTGCAACACAAGTGTGTGTGAGCAGTTACTTCTGCTTCATTGTCTCATGAAGGCAATGTTCACGACTATGTTATGCGCGCCGGCAATAAAGGGGCATGTAGATGGTCAGATCACAGCAAATTAATGCAATAACTTTTTGTCTGTGGGTGTGTTGCTGATTTCCTTCAGAGGTGATGGTGAAGGTTCATGTTGTGGATCTGAAGAGTGAGACCATCGCCACTCCAATCAGTGTTCGGGCGTACTTGAACCAGACGATCACTGAATTCAAACAGCTTATTGCGCAGGTGTTGTACTCTCCTCTGTTCCGTCCATCATCTTTCTTCCTCAACTTTTAAACTTTAACACAGAATTGTAAAATATATTGAATGCATTAGCCATGAGAGTGTGAGAATTTGTTCAGACTTCAGCCTTGTGTTTGCCCTTCTTAGGCTACAGCGCTTTCTTCAGAAAGCATGCGTGTGGTCCTGGAGCGCTGCTATAACGACCTCCGGCTCCTGTATGTTCCCAACAAGACGCTGAAAGCTGAGGGGTTCTTCAGGAGTAACAAGGTCTCCACATTTTCATTTTAAGTATTTTTCATTGTTAGTTTTGTATTAGAGAATCTACTTGAAGAATTCTAAAGATTAAACTTGAATTTGATCCGTTTCTCTCTTTGCTGTCATCAGGTCTTTGTAGAGAGCTCCGAGTCGGCTGATCATCAGGTTGCTTTCACCGAATCGCTCTTGTGGAAACTGTTGGATCGTCACGGCAATACGATCCGCCTCTTGGTCCTACTCCCCGAGCAGTCTCCTGGCTCCTTGGCCAACAGGACTCTTGGCCAAAAAGTAGTAGGTGACTCCGATGTGCCCTTAGAGGGTGCAACGGGTAACAGCCAATCGGTGGAGGCGATCCTCGAGGAGAGCACAGAAAAGTTAAAGAATCTGTCTCTGCAGCAGCAGCAGGCCTCCAGCACTAGTGACAGCCAGAAAAGCTCTGACGCCAGCGACTTTGAACCCATCGAATCCCCGACCCGAGAGGCCGACTCTTCCCTCTGTGTGGCAGCAGACAACAGAGAGTTAGAGAACCGGATCGGAGCCGCGGCGGGAGGCAGCAGCGGCGCCTCCTCCGACCCCGAGAACCACTTTGCCTGTGAGGAGCGCTCAGACTCTGAGGTGAACAACGACCGCAGCACCAGCTCAGTGGACAGCGACATCCTGAGCTCCAGTCACAGTAGTGACACCCTGTGCAATGCAGACAGCGGGCCCATACAGCTGGCCAACGGCTTGGACTCGCACAGCATCACAAGTAGCCGTCGCTCAAAAGCCCACGAGGGCAAGAAGGAGACCTGGGACACTGCTGAGGAAGACTCTGGAACAGACAGCGAGTACGACGACAATGGGAAGAGCAAGGCAGAGGCACAGTACCTGTACTTCAAAGCAGAGCCTTGTTCGCAAGACGACTCCTCATCGAATGCACAAAAATGTACGAATGTCTCCTTTATGATGCCGTTTAAAGGACGAGTCATCTTTAACTAAGGAAAACTAGTTCAAAGTCTTAGGCAGACATGAAACCCTAATTTTGGGCAGAACAAGATTGACTTTGCATTGAAAATATCACAAATTGAAATCAGTTCTTCGCCGTTTAATTGTTGTTAATTTGTCATCTGCTTCAGGTTTAGTGGTTCACGTGGACAAGAGAATAACGCTAGCAGCATTTAAACTGAACCTGGAGCCGTATGTGGGAGTCGCCGCCACCCAGTTCAAGGTGTTTCGTGTGTACGCCAACAACCAGGAGTTTGAGAGTGTCCGGCTCAACGAAACGCTCTCCTCATTCTCCGACGATAACAAGGTCAGAATCACTTTTAGAAGTGACACGTTGATTTATGATTGATTTTCTGTTGCGGGGGATTACAAGACTTGTACGTTTTATGTCTTCCCGTAGATAACAATTAGATTGGGAAGAGCACTGAAAAAGGGTGAATACAGAGTGAAAGTGTATCAGCTGCTAGTGAATGAAGCAGAGGTAAGAACTGTCCCAATGCTCAGGAAGAGTGTGCCTGAATGACCTGACTAATTTGTGATCGCAAATGTTGACCGTGTTCCCACGCTCGTGTTTCTCAGCCCTGCAAGTTCCTCGTGGACACGGTGTTTGCCAAGGGCATGACCGTCAGACAGTCCAAAGTGGAGCTGCTCCTTCAGATGAAAGAGCAGTGCAAGCTTGACCTCAACATTGACAGGTGAGAAAATAAGTTAAAAAGCAACAACAAAAGAAAACGTAGCTGCATATAAAACTGTGTGTGTGTTTAGTGTTCGTCTCAGGAAAAAGACGTGGAAGAACCCAGGCACAGTGTTTCTGGATTATCATGTCTATGAAGAAGACATCAGCATCTCCTCCAACTGGGAAGTTTTCCTGGAAGTTCTCAATGGTAACACTCATTCTGCTGTTTCTTTCAACCGCAATTTATTTTTTGTCCCAACAGACTAAAATGATTAATTCAGTTAATAAAAGTCACCTTTTCACTCTGAGACTCAAGGAAATGTCACAAAAATGTTGTTCTTTTTCAAATCTACATAAGTCAGCATTACTACTGAGTGCAGAGCATTTTTCTTTCCAGGTGGAAAAGTAACATACTTTCTCTCTCTGGTCTCTCTCTGTTTTCCCAGAACCGGAGAAGAAGTCCATGTCCCAGCTGGCTGTCCTCACCCGGAGATGGAGCCCCGCTACAATGAAGCTGGGGCCCTTCCAGGAGGTTATTCTGGAGAGCAGCAGTGTAGAAGAACTCAAGGAGAAGGTATGTCTGTGTGTACAATTACAGCATTGTCATTTCTCGATCGACAAATGGTCCAAGTACCATTCATCCGCCATGTGTTTTTTCTTCCATTTGCAGCTTAGCGAAATTAGCAATATTCCTCTTGAAAACCTGGACTTTGCAAAGGTATGTGAAATACCTCACACAGGACACCCAGTTTTTCTCCTAATGTTTCTAAACGATCGACTGAGAATCCACCTTTCTGCTCTGTACAGGGTAGAGGAACATTTCCTTGTGATATTTCTGTGTTGGAGATCCACCAGGATTTGGACTGGAACCCTAAGGTGTTGACTCTTAACGTGTGGCCTCTGTACATCTGTGACGACGGAGCTGTGGTGTTCTACAGGTAAAACAATGACATTCCTCACACACACACACACACACACACACAGGACTATGGCGCCAAGCGATAACATGGACAATAAAATGCTGCTAGAGTACCAGATTTCAGTTGTGGACACGCGCTTCTGATCAATTTTCTTCCGCTGACTTGAGACGAACATCACTGTGGTCCTTGTGCAGGGACAGCACGGAGGACCCTATGGAGCTGTCGGATGAGGAGCGCAGTGAGCTGATGAAGAAGGAGAGCAGCCGTCTGCTTAAGACGGGACACCGTGTCAGCTACTCGCCACGCAAGGAGAAGGCCCTCAAGATCTACCTGGACGGAGGCCCGGCCAAGGACCTGGGGCAGGACTGAGTTGCTGAGCGCCGCTCCTCGCTATCTGGATCGCGTGGCTGCTGCAGCGGAGCATCCAGGCTACGGGTCTCGGTGTGAGTGTCAAGCCTGGACGGGGACTTGAACATCAAGCAGTGTCTCTCGTGCTCCACCCTGAGCCCAATGACCGGCTCCGAAACCCTGTTGTGCACTATAGTGTATTGTACTGTAAAGGTTAAAGGGAAGTACAAAAGCTATTGAATACAGATTAAAAAAAGACTGTATAGACAAATCAATTGATCGTAAATAGCTCCAGAGATGGATGCAGAGATGTTAGGACTGTGAAATTGGCTAGAAAGCATCCATCCTGTCTATTGAAGTCTCTTTCCCGCTTACTGCATTTCTCCTCACGTTTCAGGAACAATGTTGATGCAGATTCATCTGTGACCGTATTGTAAACCCATGTGCTCACACTCTATGAGCGATGCTCTAATATAGACATTATTTTAATCCTACATTGCCTACCTTCCATTCGAACAATGTAAAAGCCAACAGCACACACAAACAAGAGCTTCTTATCCAGCCTTCCTCAGCCTCTTGTGAGGCCAACCTCATTCTCTCAGTGACTTTGACAATTTTATTTGCAGGATTTTATTCCTCCAAAAAGCAACAGTTGATAACTTTCTACTCCGCTGATGGGATGAGTTTTCCTTACTGCTGCTCTTGTTGCTTAATGGGGGCTTTACCTTTGCTACATCACTTCCACTAGATGTAATGGTGCATGGCTAATGGTGGTCCTGTAAAACAAAGTACAATGAAACAACCAATGTTAAGAATGCTCTTGCATTGTTTTGATTTCTTGTAAATTATTTTTTTGCTCCAAATGCAACAATCCATCGAGGTCTTGCGGGGCACCAGGCGTGCATCTGTTCTCTGCATTTCCCTTTAATTTAGAAATTGGATTTCTTTGTTTTTCTTCTATTTTTAGCACCATGCGAACTGGGTGTACATCTCTTGTGTCATTTGTGTGTGTGTGTGTGTGTGTGTGTGTGTTGTACTACGGGGTGGAAGCTCTCTGGGATTTTGGAAGAGAGCCTGAGTTTGTTTATGGCGCTTCTACCTGCTGCTGCTTGATAGACTGTCACCAGAGGGTCTATAAAGCCCAGTGGACTCCTCAGTCTGCCCGGGCGACTGATGTAAAGACTGAGGCTCGGCATCCCGGCCCCTCTGGGATGCCGACGCTGCCACCAGCTATTCACTGTAGAAATGGCAATATCTTTTCTTGTTTTCTTTTTATTGATGTTAATGTGTATTTCTTTGAGATTTAAATCCTGTGTGGAGATGGTAAAAGATGATTTTAGTAATTAATTAAAATGCTTTTCTTTCATAACTGCAGTTTTCTGTCACTGTAAAGTGAAATGGCTTAATTTAACTCACAAATCCTTCTGCCCTGTTTAAGAAAAGGGGGTTCTGGTGTTACAGAAACAATTCTTTTCCTGATCGTGGGAGTTGCACAAGCAGAGGTTTAATTAACAGCTTTATGTATCAAACACCATCACAAGCTATATTCACACATACATCTATTACTGCTTATATTCACATCACACCTTCATGTGGCCATTTTTAAATTATGAGTCACAGAGTACACAAAGACAATGTTAATATCACTAGAACTACAAATGCTTGTATAAATGCTATAAAGCTACATCCTTTATAGTTACTGATTTGGACTTTGTTCAACATGTTTGTATAATCAACAGAATAATATGAATTGAAATCATTTTAGTGGAATAAGTGATGTTGGACAGCGTTTCATCTTCTTGTGCAAACAACCTTTCATCTTTGAGGCATAAAAACATTGAGGTCTTGGCAAAAACGTCCATATTCTGTGAAAGGAAGCAGCAGCGGAGCTTATACGGCTGGGATCAAGAAAGGATTGCACCAAAACATTTTTGGGAGAAGAACAAGGAAAAGCTTTGATACTCACAACTTTAGGATATCAAAGCATCTACAGTAAGATTTACTCTTCAAATAAATGTTGAGCTTTTATCAGACATTTAAGAGTTTAGATAGTAGCAGCTATGTATATGTTAACATAATTCTTTGTCATGGTAGGGTTTCCTGTGGATGAATACAGGTGTAATGTTGGGGAGGGTGGAAAGGTAAAGAATAATCCATGGTTGCCCGCCTCTGGGATAGTGTTTCATTGAACATGCAGTGAATTCAGCATGATCAATGAGTCTGGCATCAGGTTTCTTTTTTTCTTCCTTGTGCATAAAGTACTGCAGTGGGACTGCAAACTGGGTGTTCCCCTGGTTCTATTCTGGCTTCACTTTATCAGGATGACGCAGCGCTGCTACATAGTTGTCTTCAGCTGATGACCAATGTGACACGGGCCGCAACAAGTTTAAACCGCGTGTAGTCAACGAGCGATTCAGTGTGTTAGGGTGGGTTGTGCGGCTGGGATAAACAAAGGGTTAGAGCTGCAGCATGTAGTACAGTGTTATTTACTATGATAACAGGCCTTTGTAAATATAGTGTTTCCCGTCAGGTCTCGATATAGCGGACAAAATGAATCTATTCTCCTTATTTTTCCATGCGGTGTAACTTTACCTCTTTGAATTACACTGGCAAGCAGAAAGCGCTATAGAAGTGGAGTCCGTGCACACGAAATCCGTCTGCGTCTATATGATGTAGTCTATCTCGGAGTACAGGCTGTCCATCTGGTCCTCTTCACTCGAGTCCTCTCCTTTAAGGCACATGGACCCTCGACTGTTCCACAAGCACAGCAATGGAGCATTGGTGTGAAAGTTAGCCGCTGACGTGCCCGTGAAGCATTAATAGGATTCTTTGCTTTGGAATGTACTGCACTCACCCGAGGTGCTGACAGTGGAGATCTCCTGCGCAGGGGCAATGTTTGCTGGGTCCCTCGTCCTGAGTGTCCCAGGACAGCAGCTCCAGCAGGTGGTTGGAGGCCCCAAAGCAGCGCTCGCGCTCGATGGGTTTGGCCGAGCACACGGGGAAGAACAGGGCTGAATACACGGACAAACCCCACAGACGTGTTTAAGAGGTAGAGAACCCATAAGAACTGCGCTGGACTCGGCTTTGTACTGTACCTTTATGGAAGAGACAGCAAAGGTCCGGGCTGCAATCCGCCTGGTATTGACAAGTGCTGCCAGCCGCTCCTTTGGTTGCATTTAGACTGCACTGACCCCACACGCACAGCTGTTCACCGCAGCACTCATTGTCCTTAGTGCAGGACTGAAATAATGAAAACACATGTCAGCAAAGGTTAATCTTTAATCCAAAGCAAAGGCTTTTAGTAACACACGTGTCCTAAAAGGAGCAGAAACGTTCAGATCAAAAAGGCTGAAACTCACCTGAGCAATAACGGCGTTAACTATTCTCTAACTGTGACGTCTACGGATGTTTTCCTTTTTTCGTTAATTATAAGTGAGATCAGCAGGTCAACTGGTCTCTGATGGCAAAGTGACAGGTTCCTGCACACCCTGCATGAGTTGTTAGTTAGAGGATACGGGCAGCCGCGTTTTTGCATATTATTATATTATATTATTCTGCAGACATTTTGAGGGGGCGAAGATGCTGTTCTCTGTGTATTTATTGTCCACGTACACCGTTCCACTTGTTTGGCAGCCTGCCATTACCTTCATCCCGTTGCGTTGCTTTTTACTCTGCCAAACAAAGACCCATTCATCTAACGATGACGCGACAAGATCGGCAGAAATAACGCCGTCTTAAATAAACCCGATGGCTGAGTCTATAATTGGAGGACTCTCATTACTAATGCTCATTTTATTCTGGGCGTCCTTTGAGAGGGGAATGGATGACAGTGGGGAAAGGACGGGCTCTTATTTAACCTTGACACATGATGTTCTTTCACGTGAAAGCTCATAGCACAAACAACACGCTCCGGTTACACTTGTGGACTCGCTGCAATGCGGTCGAGGTGAAACCCCAGCTGGCCGGAAGGGACCATGTGTGAGTTTTCATTTGAAAGCAACGGTACATCACAGAGAAAACTGACCAAAACGGTGCCGGCCGCCATGAAAAAAGGGACTCGGTGGTTCACTCACCATGTCGATTGCTTTACAAGGGACACACTTGGACTTGTGCGTGTTATTGAGGCAATAAGTTCCCTTCACACAGTCCCCATCACTGAGGCATTTCTAAACACAAGAAAATATGTATTGATTGAAACAAAGCAACAATATGTTTTATTTAAAAAAAACTTCATTCAACACATGTGGAGTATTTCGAGGGAAATTAAACCAAATAACGTTGGAGATTGTTCTTATTAATCAGTTGTTTTTGTTTTCTTGTAACTGTGACATAATATGACAAAAAGTTGCTCTTCAACTTTCAGATACTTTGAGAATAACGCTGTTTCCGTGTCGCGGAAGCTTAATCCTGAAAGGCTATTCCAGTCACACCTCATCACGTATTTATTAACAACAGAGTACAGTCACCTTTCTGACAGGTCAGTCGCAGTTTGCTTTTCTTTCAGCCAGAAGGCACCAACGCAAGGTCTGATTCATTTGTAGTCATTATGCAAAGACAGTAGCTGGGACGCTCCCGCCGGTCGTTACCTGATCTTAAGGCCTTCTCGTCTTAAGACAAATTCAAACCCAGCAGCCATAAAGATGTACTTGTGCTTCAACATTCTGTGGACTGAACTGAATATCATTACGGAAACAGAATAAACTTACGTAATCGATTTCGTTCCCAAGGTCACCAGAGTGGACAGATGTGTTGTTGGTCTCCTGTGTGAAAGTGAAACATCTGTTAAGTTGAATTCATAACGGGCAAACAAACGCTTCCTCAATTTTGTTTACTGTTCCCAGGCTCACCGGCTCTACGGAGGAATGGACATATTCACTATCAATAACTTTATCGGAAGCGCTGTCATTGTGTGGACTCGGAGGAAGGTCATTGGGATGAGGGCTGAGACTGCCGCTGTCGTTGTTCCTCTAGAAGAATTGGAGAGATGATCAGAGACGTAGAGATGCATTAAGAAGTCACTCGTGTATCACAGCTCCTCCTTCCACGGCTGCCTCTTAGCTTTCCATATCCCTCACAAGACACAACACTATTTTAAAATAAAATGCAATCTCATGTCAGAATGCTCTCATCTGCCTACTTGGTGCAACGCATCCTCGAGCTTTTGCTGCGGATCTCCGGGCAGTTGCTCCACTTGTGCGATGCGGTCCAGCTCCGTTTGTCCCCAGACGGAATTATCCTCAAGGATGTGAGGGAAGCCTGAGTCGACTATCTCAGGGAGGATGCCATGGCAGACTGCCGTGAGAGCCCCAACTAGCAGGGCGAGGCGCATCATGCTGCTGCTGCTGCCGCTGCTGCACTCGGAGGGTGTGGTGCTGATGCTGAGAAACGCAAACAGCGACGCCACAGCTGATGCGTCTCATCACCGAGGGGGTCGTCATCGCCTCAGTCCGTGTTCATCTCCATAGCATCGTGTGCTGTAAGCAGGCAGGGGACGACTTCCAGGACAAGAAATAGACCCGCATGAAAGTGTGAAGTCACAGGTTTTGGGGGAATTGGGGAACCCTCCCACGCCTCCAGACCCGGCGGCACCATGGACGTGTAACGTGGGAAGCATTGACCACAACAATCGGAACGGCCACAATAATAAAGTATGCAAACACGTGTCACGTTCAGGGTGAATGATGGTGCCTTTAAGCACACGTGAACGTTGTACCTTCACACGCGGACCACGAGGCGGAGTCATTCGCTTTTAACAGTTATATCCGGGTCACGGACTTCACTGCTTTACGCGCACGTTCGCCGTGTTTGTTCAGTGGGTTTTGTCCGCGTAGACTATAGTTTCCGCTGACACGAAGTAAAGTTCCTAATGTGCGTCGGCTGACTGCGGTCCGGCCACATATGGGGCGCCCAGGTGGTCACGTGGAACCGCACCTGGAGAGCCAGAGTAGTGTTTTCATTCAATTATTAGCGTGTTGAATGTTGAATCAATATCAGTTAACCATTGAGACACGCACACATTCAAATTACATTGTAAAATCGTCAGTATTTAATGATCTAGCGTAGTTTTTTTTTTCTTTCTTGAGTGACAGACCCGAACCACTTTCAATTCAACCCCATACAGCCCGACGTGACTGTAGTCTAACCCATGTGGGGCGAACTCTCCGGCTGCCTCTCAGACACCGACTGCCGGCTGGTGTGGACCGTGTGGACCGAGCAGCAGCAGCAGTCACGGCAGCTGCCGGCTGGTGTGGACCGTGTGGACCGAGCAGCAGCAGCAGTCACGGCAGCTGCCGGCTGGTTCTCCGGACGTGTCCGGTCGTTCGGCTCCGCCCTCGGAGACGCTGCTGTCTGCCGGCCGCGCTGAGGAGCGACGGACGTCACGCAACAGTCCGGCTTTCACAAGTCACTGGAGGGAAGAGGGAGAAAGTCGGGTCGGTTTGAGTCATGAGGTCAGTTTCTTCTTGTTTTCACGCCTTGTAGTTTTTGTGGCTTTTCTTGCACAAGGGTGGCGGCACACCTGACTGAAAGGACGCTTTTGCTTCTTCACTTCTAATAAAAAGTTTGTATTAGAAGTGAAGGCACAGGGTTTCACTGTGTGAACTAACACTTGCAACTGGCTACATGAGTATTACGGGAGGACGTGGAGGTAATGCTGAATTGTTTTGATGCCATTTGGCTGTTATCATGTATGACAAAGACAAATTACATGTATGTGCAAACGTACATGGCCAATAAATCCGATTGATTGTGATTGTTTCAGTTGAGTTTTGAGTTTCAGTACCTGCTGAACCTCGTTGTTTTATTGTGATATAAGAGCAGTCAGGCATCTGGGTTTGTCTCTCTTGCCTTTTAACAAAAAGGTTATCTCGACTTGTGCAACCTGTTTTTTAGTTTTTTTTTTCAGCTGATGTTTGTATTCTAAATCCCCCTTTAGGTATAAATAACTTTTGAGTGACTGTGTAACTCCTTTTTGAACATGCCTGTAGGCACAACCCCATTCAAAAGCAGACTTCAACCTTTTCAATATTTTCAAAGACAGTAAAAAATCTTTTGTAATCCCACCATTAAATACCAGCATTCTGTCAGAAAGCTACAAATTGATGCACTCAGCTGCACGTTTTTGAAATTCTTTTCAGCCTTTCTTAAGCAGCTTCCGGCCGCGGACCGTCTTTGGGATGTAATCACACTGCATTGGTAAGAAAGGTGTGGTGTTGACAGGCTGTACTGTCAGGTTACTGAATGGAGCTCAAGCGACAGAAACTCCTGAAGGTTTTCCAGTGTGATTACAGGTCAGCATACCTGCGCTTCCTGTTGAACAAAGGCAAAATGGCCAGATTCAAATTGGGAGAAATTAGCAAAAAAAAAAAGCTCCTCCGTGTCCCGTATTTCAACATAGTGCATGAGCAGTCCTTCTGGTATGATTCACGTGTCTAACACGATGATGCACGATTTGTTCAGCCACATTTTTAAGGAGGGTCACACAAGCAGTGGTGGTTTTCCCACTGCTGTGTGAGCTGTCGTTTCCTGTCTCCTTCACCACCGAGAAATCAGCATACGTTCTCCTTCAAACACCAGATACAAACTTTATTACCGTGTCACTTTGCCGGTGGACGTGCAAAGTTCTAAACAGTGTTCATGTTGGCCCCGGACACTGATGGTCTATGTGATTTATGCTCTTGGCAAATAACAGAATCTTAGTGCATCAACATGCAACAGCAACCTCATTATTCTTCTCCGGCTGGAATTTCCCTCTCGGTAAACTTTTTTTTGAGTAATTTATGTGCTATGATATAAATATATGGAGAGACAACATAAACGGGATTGCTCAATAATATAAGTCGTCCTTTGGTGAATGCTTTGTCAAACACTCCTGTGTTTTTTGCCAAGCGGGCTGCAATTCTAATGTTGCTTGCTGAATGATTACAGAATCATGGTCTCCTGCTTTTAACAAATACAGCCGCCTCAGAGCCGAGAGAGCATATAAACATCTGGAGATCACAAGGCTGTATAATGTCCTGGACACAGAGGCAGCTTTACAAACAAACTCACAGTGAGAAAATTCACTTCCTAAATATCATTGACATTCATGCAAACTTCCACATTTTTCAAACAGTCCTTTGCCTGTTCACCAAAAGAATCCCTCAACCCACGATAGACTTCACTGATTCGGTAGCTTACAGCTACTAATTCCTGGGCCAGCCTTTGCTTTTCAGTTTGTAATTACAAGCTTTACCTACGTTTTAAATTTGGAGATAAAATAACATTGCAGAAAGTCCCGTCCTTAATGCAGCCAGGCAGACGCCTTCATTGTGGCTGCTCAAGAAACACCTAACGATGATGTGTGCCTTGCCACGACTGCAGATGAGTCTCAAAATAATTTTAGACTCACCCTCCCGCAGGCCAGAGACACAATTCTTTGTTATGAATCCTCAACTTGTGCATTGCATGAAAATAACGAAACTGCGTCTCACGCAGCCCGATTATCTAACCGGGTGGAAGCTCGTGCTCATTATTGCCGGGGAGGTGTTGTAAACTTTCTCCTTCCTTCCTCTGTGCAATGTTTCCTTCCTATTTTTACAGCATAGGAACGGACACACGCATCCAGGCATCAGCAACACAAAAGGGGTGAAGGAATTCCCAGAGATGGGTGGGGCATCTGTGTAGCCTGCTAGTCATGATTTCTGCTTTCTGCTGTCGCCACATATCAAGTCAATCGTGTCCAATGTAACGTTTAGTTTTGTGAGAAGCTTTTCGTCCGTGTGGCTACCTGCTAGTTTAGCACCGGTGAACCCTTGACCGGTATTGATTTGGACTTTGAACAGTTGGATTTTTGTCACACGTAGCCTTGTTTGCAGGGTCGAGGAACGACGATATCTCTTCATGTCACGTGTTGTTTTGTTCTGCAACATGATGCTTTTTTTTTTTTCTATTCTGGGCCTGGCTCTACTGATTGCTGGCTTACGGAATTAGCTGTTCCTGCCACTTGTCTTTGCTTCAAAACATGGAACGTGGTCAGTATGCTAATTATAACACACCTGAATGTGTAGTTAAGGTCAGAATAACTGTTGAAGTGAATTGTTTGTGTCCATAGCGAGGTATACACACCGTGTACACTGTAACCAATGTGTGCTCAGCGTGTCCAGATAAATCATCCTCCAAAGGAGCCATGTGGCGAGCAGACCTCGTGGCCCAGACAACCTGCCGTCAGCGGCCCCCAAGTTTCACAAGCCTGCTCCTGTTTGTCTGAATGAACTGGTTTTCCCCTCTGAAGCTGACTTTACGCTGGTGTTCCTACGATGCCTATAAAAGATCTTCTTTTGTCTTGGCGCCGCTGCCTAAACACGCAAACAGATTTCTGAGGGCTGAGATAATGCTTTGGTATTATGGGGCCGGTTGAAGGGCAGAACCAGCGGGCTGCAGTCCACATAAGCGCGGTGTTTTTTGAGGCTCGCTGCCTGCTTATCGAGCCTACAGAGGGCTCCTTCCTGGTTTTCTTCAGTCCAGTCTGCAATTACTGTCGCTGGCTGCGCTGCAGTATGTTCATTTCCCAGCACTCCCAATGTTTTCCTTGTGTTGTCAACTTCCTATTGTATCCTGATAGCCTGAAGGTATGTGCTCTGCAAAAATAAATGAAGGCCTCGCGTCACTGGTCTGACGCTTGGTTCAGTGTCTTTACAGGTTTGTCGCTGTCGGAATCCCACTGCATGTTTTAAATAGGACGGGCTGAAAAGACACGGTATTGGGATGGTCACATACTGTACATTTAAATCTATAAACATCTAAATAAGGTTTAGTAGTATTAGCAAATCCAGTGAAAAGACCCCAAAAAACAATTATTGGATGCTGGGATAGCCAAAGGTAAAAAAGATATATATCGTCAATTTTTTTTTTTTTCACTCTCTGTCATGTGTTACTCTTAAGTACTCAAAAGGGGACCACGGCTGTACTGTATTAATATGCTGCGGAGTATTGTGCCCAACAGATGTTCTGTTTGAAATATTTTGGCTGAAAACATTTGTACTCCGTTGTTTTAGGCTGCCCTTTAGCTTAGAAAAATAAATAAGATGATAATACATTTTTGAGAATGTTAGAAAAGGAAGTGTCACAGACAGGGTTAGGAAGCTAGAGAGTAACATAATAATGCTAATAATACTGTTTTCTAAAGCGCTATTCTAGATAGCAAAAGACGCTTTACACAGGCCAACGACAGACAGAACAAAACCACACAAAAAACAGAAAGAAATGATCAAAAAAAGTAACAAACAACACTTTTTTTGGTAATCGATGTGGTTGTTCAATGTCTGTCCATCCCTATTGTAAATGCAGACGATTATATATATATATACATATATATATATATGTGTGTTTAAAAAGTTTACACGAGCATTTGGGTTTTATTTTCTTTTGCCATCCAGGTGTTACAGGTACATTTTTCACATTCCTAACATTCCCATTTGTCTACTGTAAACGGATAGCTTTTATTCACATACACTGGATTGTGGGTCCATCTTATGGATTTGTTTACACAATATACAAGACACTTTTCACTTTGGGAAATGTACAGTTAAGTAATTACCCAAGTAATGGTGAAATGATACATCAAACTAAATGTATCATAAATGTATATAAAATCCTCTCTGCTGACAAAGAAAATAATCATTGCTATTAACTTTTGCCATAAGCTACAGTCCGTTCCCCTCAATAAGATCATTTTCTAAAGAAGAAATCCAAAACCTGCTCTCTATTAAACTCTCTGATCCTCTTCATCATTGCATGGGTCGGTTGTGGTGTGTGTGCATGCTTGTGTGCGTGCGTGTATATATTCTTTCCGCTTTGTCCGTCATAAGCTGTATTTTTACAGCCGTTCTGTGGGTTTTGTTCTGTCTGCCCACAAGTGACTTTCCATTCAGACAGACTGAGATGGTGAAGTCATTGGACTGTCTGAGACAATTGCAGTTTGAGTGGTACCATTTCATTAGTCCTTGCAGAGATTCGTGCAACAGATGGTTCCAATACTTGGACTGAACGTGAAAGCATAAGTGCAGTCAACATGTCTTTTATTAGATATTTCCACCCAATTATTGAAGACTAGCCAAAGTTTACAATGCTAAAATAACAATGTGGTTCATTTTTGTTTTGCATCACAAAATATGTTATTTACAACACACTTACTCAATCAAAATAATTGAAAACTCAACTGTCAACGAAATGACTCCACAGAGGCTTTTAGAAGATATTTTGTACCCACCGAGCAGTCCGCATACCACATGCCAGACGACAGTAATTTGCCCATCACAGTCTGCTGCCATGCCTGAAAGATTAAAGAAACGGCATCTTACATCATGCCCGTCTCAGCCGTCGCTCGTCATTGACAACCAGAGGGAAACAACCCTGGAGGTGGTCCTGGAGGTGGTCCTGTGACTATCTGGCAGGTGAGAGGGCCGCACCGCGTTGGACTCGTGCTGACAGAGCAGTGCCCGGCTCCTCTGTGCACGTGGCAAAGGAATGTCAGCTCAGAGTGTTTGGGGTGAAAGGCCTCGGGGGTCCACAATATCAACCCACCGGACAGGTGGGGTTTTTTTATGCCACAAAGGTGTATCAAGCAGACTGAGAGTTAACCTCGGTGTGTACAGTATTTCTACAACGCGTTTGTTGTTTCATTCTCTGCCTGAAACTCTCTCTGAAAACAGGATGCCAACACGCAGCCAAACAGGACATTGTGCAAATTAATATGCTAATTTTAGCTTGGGGACAAACGACGTTGCTGTAGTAGGAACATTCAAAACCTCACCGCATTCAAATCACGATGAAATTTGTTGTGACGCCAAGACTGAATGAATGGTCATCGAAAGTTCCAACTCACTTTGCATTGCGTTGGTGTCCTCGGCTGAAGCTCGGTGAGACCAGTTTCATTGGGACAGTCAAAGTTCCACCTGAGGCCCTGGGGTGGGGAGTGACACGCAGAGTGCATTGCTGTGCGTGTGTGTGTGTGGGGGGGGAGGGCTGTTAGAGTCCTGCAGAGCTGGTCTGACCTCTCCTCTAACCCGGCCCATCCCACTCCATGGGACGTTGAAATATCAAAAGCCGACTCAACCCCAAACTCACAGAGGCTGTGGTCTCCACCCAAGTAAGCAGACACGTGCTTAAAGCAGGAAATGTCAGCATTTTGCTTTGATGTTAAGTTCTGGCACAGCTTTTAGGGGCATGGTTTCCAATATGCCTGATGGTTGATTGGAGGAAAGAGAAGCTCTATTGTATTTGATTCAGTTCAGTGCTATTCTGACACAAACGTTTGATTTAGTAACGGTGTCCTTCCCACGCAGGCCCATATGTAAGCAAGCCGACTGTCCAGGCCTCAGTGGAAAGTGGACTATTTAGCATGCATACCCAATCAAAGTAAATCAACCTGTGTTAGTGTGGGCCTTTTATGACTCTGACTTCAAAGTCCTCACTCTTTACTGCTGAAAACATTGTCTGGTTTTCAGCTGGAATGAAAAATACCACAAGACAAATAGTTTTCTGGTCTACTCATCGATGGTCAGTGCTGCACACCAGGAATGAAAGGTTTGCATTCCTTGCAGGTTGTAATAGTGAGGCAACCACTTTCTACCCATGTTAATGTACAGTTTCAATAACATTAACGTTACGGCAATAAAGAAAGTCTTGTTTAACATATGGGGGACGCATTGATCAAACAATATGTACACCGGTTCTCTTCTGTGTGAAGCTGTCATTGAACCCTGAAGCTGTTGAAAAGTTTGGTTCTCTGTTAAACCAATAAGTGGTATCAAAAACCACAAACGGCTCCTTTTTGTAGGCCACAGGTTTGTGCCTCTATAAAGCACAGTGGTGAAAATGCCCGACAGCTGTCTGACAACAACACAGTGGCTCATTGTCCCTCCTTTATCGAGTATCTCTTCAGTATTTATGTCTCTACATGAAATGTTATCTTGTCAACATGTGGGTGAGTTAACTGGGGCCTAAAACATTGACTCCAAACGAGGAGCCCTCTCAATAGTTTGGTAACGTAACGCTTGAGAAGATGAAACGCAGCTGCGTTGGTAACATTGCAATCTACAAACCCCTTAAATGACATAATGTAATGAAACATGTGCACTTCAGCCGGCTAATGATTGAGTACGTGAGAGACTTCCTGCCATGAGATGACATCACACTCTTATGTGTACTGCGTCCACAGACTGGGCATGGCGGAGAGGCCCGAGCTGAGGGTGTGACCACATCAGGCTGAAACTGCTGAAGTAAGCCGCCTCAACGCAGTAAACCGTCTACCGCAGCGGGGGGAAGATGGGAAAGGCGGAGGAGGAGACGGATAATGTGGGGAAACTGTTTGAGGACTTTGTCCAGGCCTCGACGTGTAAGGGGGCCCTTCAGGCCTTCAACGTCCTCTGCAGGAAGCTGGACATCGACCCCGCGGAGAATGACACCTTCTACGGCAGTCTGAAGGCGAAGGTCACCTCCTGGAAGGCCAAAGCACTGTGGGGCAAACTAGACAAGAGGATGTCCCATAAGGAGTACAAGAAAGGCCAAGCCTGCGTGGGCACCAAGGTAAATGGAATCTTTAAATTGAATCTAACTTAACACCTATTTATTATTTTCTTTGTAGTGTGTTATGAAAGTAGAAGTGGTCTTTGACAGGTGATTTTTTTCAATGTACATTAACAAAATGTGCAGAGTTTAGTTATTTGTATGTATGTGTATACATATAAATAAAACTTCTTCCTTACCAGACACAGAGCATCAACTGCAGCAACACTCACTGCAACAGCTCCCAACATGCGGGACAGGAAAGGAAAGCGCTGCTTGGCACTTGTTGTGTCCCTCTTAGGCGCTACATGACCGAGCTTCACACAATGAAATGCAGACATCATGTTATGTTATCATGGAGAAAGGCAACACCGAACCATCCATGTGCCCCCCCCCCCTTTGTTATCATTTAGTAGGCAAATGGTACAATGAAGTAAATCACAGCTAAGAATAATACAGACTGTTCTTCAAACACAACAAGCAACGGATATTCACACAAATGAAATATGAAACAACAGAATGTCGTAGACAGCGTTTGCAATGCTTCATCTGTCTCTGCAGCCAAATAACACACACAATCACATCCAGAGAGCAAATTACAAAGACAAATTCCCTAAGAATAGAGCTATCGAGGCGCTCTCCTTCAGTTGAATCATAAAGAGATGGTTCATTTGGGACAAAGAAACCGTGTGTGTGTGTGTGTGTGTGTGTGTGTGTGTCTGTGTGTGTGTGGGGGGGGGGGGGCTCTTGGCAGTAAAGGTGATGATGAAAGTAGGAAAACCTGGAGGGGTGTGATTACCTTTCAGCTGCCTGCAGCTTGTTTTTATTGCGCAGAGAAACAGACAGAGTCACTCAGCAACTATGATTATTTGGCCCCAGTTATTGTCCTACAATATTGGAGCAAGGCCCACATTGTTATTAAAGTGTGTTTTTAGCTCTAGTGTGAGCTCAGTTTTGCAGATTCTTTAAGCAAACACTAAAATAGCCAAAAAGGTTTGATCCAGATTTTGTAATTCCTGACAATTCACAGGATTTGTAGAATGGAAAGTGGTACTATACAACTTTACCAGAAATCTTGCACCAAAGTAATAAACCAGATGTAGAACAAGTGCCAAAAAATGTATTTAAAGAATTTATGAGATTGCCTTTTTCTTCTGTGCTAATTAATTTCCACACATATACAATATTCAACTGCAGCTCAAAGCCCGTTTAAATCCCTCAACAACATTCTGCGTTTACTTCTCCCCCCCGGGAGAATCACCAGGTGACGACACAAGTTTTCACGGCAACTCGGCTGTTTTACAATAACAGATGTGATAGCAGTCGGCGCCTCGCCCTCAGATACCCACTGTAACACCAATCTTTAAGGATGTGATGTCATCTCTGTTTCATGGCCAGACGCAGCTGGCTGCTGTGACACAGACTTTCTCATAAAGTTAAACTGCACAAGAATCAGCCAATTAATCTTTTTACAATGAGATGTTGTGAATCACTCCCAGCATACTTAATTAGAGCTCTGTGACACGATGCCCTGTTACAACCTGAGCGCGTAAAACCTCTTGATTCGACAAAAGAAGTGTATTCAAAGGACTGTTTCTACATTTATTTAAAATTGTATTTTAACATCCATGGTTCATCCATACTCGTGTTGTAGGTTTGGGATGGTGTTGTTTGTGGGCCTTTTTTAAAGCAGAAATGATCATTCACATCTGAAGTAATTTCCAAAATACTTCATGTACAATGCCTCTCACATGTGAATATTTGCGGATTGTCTTTGTTAAACATAATACACGTATTCATGGTCAAAAGACTGAGTGTAGTATCAGTTCTAGTCTCCTGACCTTTTTAAATGAGGAACGCTGGGATAGTTAAAGAGCACATTTTATTAGCCAAACCGTCAGCTGAGCTGAAGAGGTAAACACTCTGACTGGCAGATCGGGTTCATTAACAACGAGTGACAAATGTGAGCGGGGCGAGGTCACAAGTGGGAAGTTGAAAGGAAGCTAGTGTGTCCTGGCTCAACAGATGCAGGGCGAGCTGTGAGGAAAAGCCTCCTATCTGGAATAATATATCAGCGGAAACGGGCTGAAACAAACGGGCGGTTTCTGCCGGAGGCTGATAGACCGATGACCACAGTTTAGATAAAAACGCACACACTGAATGTACATCTGAACGTACTGAGTTAGCACGGTGCACGCAGATGACATCCCTCCATCTCTGTCACTGGCCGTGTAAATAACCACCCAGGTGTGTTTCACACCTGAAATGACCTCATCCCGATAACACATGACGACACCACCCACATCGCGCTGTCCTCACTTTGCATTGTGGTGTTGGTGGATTATAGGAAAGCAGTCCTCCTGTTCCATGTGTATTGTCAGCCAGAATAAGGCCACTATCATCTTCTCTCTACACAATAATGCCTCTTGACATGTTTAGAAGTAAAGAAGATATTGTTTGCCAGCACACATGCATTCCTCCTTTCATCGGTCTTTCGAGAGGATGATGTCATGTTCGAGACACACATTCTCAGACAGGCGCCGTCGCCACAACCAACTGACTTCATGCATTTTTTTCACAACTAAAACCCTCAGATATGGAAAGATTGTAACCCGGGTTTCGGTTGATGTTCCTCCTCTTGGCAAAGTCCTCATAAATGCTCTGCTTCAGTTTTCCTAACAATCCTTGCTCACACATGAAGGCTTGGAGAAGTCATCGCAAGGCTGCGATGATCCTCAGAGTCATTGTCCGTCCTGCTCTAGTGTCCCCGAGGGAGACACTTAGCTTCTAAAGGCTCCGTAGGTGCAGTGGAGTGCTGCTTCTTGTTATAATGTATCTGTGTTATAACACTCTCTGATGTGTGAATAAACACGTAGGCCATAAATCATTTCTCCTCTCATTCTCTTCTGCAGGAGAAAGCCAAGTTGTTTATGATTGCAGACGTCTAAATGACGTAGCTCATAATCGGGTCCAATTTGTCATTCTCTTATTATTTAGTGCCTCATCATTGGAGGAGGCCCCTGTGGCCTGCGGACGGCCATCGAGCTCGCTTTGCTGGGGGCCAAAGTGGTGGTGATCGAGAAGAGAGACGCTTTCTCCAGGAACAACGTGCTGCACCTCTGGCCCTACACCATTCATGACCTGCGGGGCCTCGGGGCCAAAAAGTTCTACGGCAAATTCTGCGCAGGAGCCATAGACCACATCAGTGAGTATCCACCGTTACAGAAACAAAGCAGTTTTAGAATCAATGAAGAGATTCTAAAACTACCTCTAAGAAGATGAAATGGAGGAAGAAAGAGCATAATATATTTTTGTAAAAAAATACTTTTAAGAAGTAGAGATGAAATAGTGATATCTTATATGAAACACTGATGCGGGTCTTTGTCTCTAAAAGGCATTCAGAAGCTGCAGTGCGTCCTCCTGAAGATCGCTCTGATTGTTGCCGTGGAGTTTCACGTCAATGTGGAGTTTGTGAAGCTTTTGGAGCCTCCGGAGGATCAGGAAAATGAAGGTATCCGTCCAAACAGTAGATCAACAGAGCTCTTGCGTTCACCCACAGACAGTTGTTTGAGTAGATGCAGGTTTGGGGAAGGAGAGGGGATTTGAGCAGCTGGAAACAACACAAGGTGGAGGTTTAAAGGCAGATCGCTCAGTCTGTCAGACGGATACCGTGCAGCTTATTGGAGGATCTGCAGTTGTCCTCCCACATTGTATTTCATTCTCCTGCTTCAAGCTGGGTGAGCCAGCAAGGGACTTCTCAACCTGATTTGCTTGACAGCGACTAATACACAGGAGATAAATAATGGCACTGACATGTTTTTTTTAAATCATTTTTAGATGAGGTTAGTAGAGGCAAAGTACATTGTCTAACTTCCCTGTTGGTCATCAAATGTCTGCTGTAAACCGCTCAAGAATGAATACCAATGAATAAAGATGGTTCCTTGTGTTTTTTTTAAAAACACGTAGCAGTAATATCCTGCACTCACTTCACTTTGGACTTTAGACCCTCAGGAAGAAAATAACCTACAGTACATGCTGTTATCAGGTGTTGTCTCCTATAATAACTAACCCTGATAACAACAAAAGCCTTGCCTAAATTTAGATGCAAACTTATCCCTCTTGTTCTGCTGTGCCCTTGACATCATGGAAAGCATTTTCCAAATGGTGATATTACACAACAACCTGCCAAACCGTCCCCGCGCTGGTCTCTTTCTGTTTGTTAGTCAGGGTGACAGGTCAGATCCAGTTGGCGTTCCTTAAGCATTCCTTTTTTAACACGGACCCTTTGCTTATTTTACTTGCAGCATAACAACAAAATGTCACGTGTGCAATTATGTTTCTTTCCAGACATCTGCCTTGACTGAGACACTTTTGAAGTGTCCTTAAGCAAAAGTAATACTCTTTTCTCCGTCGAAACTTTACGCGCTGATTGTTGAACTGCAGCCACAAAGGAAATAATCCCTGGATTATGTGACTTCACCCTTCTCTCCTTTGTCTCCATCTCTCAGGGCTCGGGTGGAGGGCTGCGGTCCGACCCGCGGATCACCCCGTGGCTAACTTTGAGTTCCACGTTGTGGTGGGGGCGGACGGACGCAGGAACACTCTGGAAGGTGAGCGGGCAAGCCTGTCAAGCCAAAAGGGCTGAAGAGTAAAGATGTGACATAATGTTGCCTGTGCCTCGTCGACGAAGTAACAATCTGGGAGTCAAATGAACATTTTCACATACAAAACATTCAAAGCACAAGGTGGAGTTTGCTTTCACTCTCAAATTCACTGGTTTCTCTGTACAGAGAGTTTATTGAATACTTTCTGGTGCCGTTGACTTTCAGTTGAAAGTTTCACACAATACACTTGTCACATAGTACATGCGACTATACTCTGATAGAACCAGCGTACCTTCTGTTTAACATTATAACAACACTGGACTCTACCTTTGCAGACCTTGTGCTGCAGCATTTCTGTTGCAAAGCTATAAATGACACACAGCTATAAAGCTATAAATGACACTGTAAACGTATCGTAGGTTGAAGCCCTTTATCTTTCCCACTGGGAAAAGGTTATTCGTGAACCTCTGCACAGAAATAGAGCAGCGGCTTTGGCTCTGTGAAGCAGCTTATGCATTTGCGCTGGACTGTCTCTGTCCCTCCGTTTCGGTCTCTCTCCTAAAAAAAAAAAAAGCTGTCATCTAACAACCAATTTGCATCAGAGGCTTAATTCCTAAAAAGGGCATTTTTGGGCAGAACGAGCTGTTTAGGTCATTCTTCAATTATGATGAAGACTGTGGGGAATGATTCCCCCCGGCTGTCGGCCTACTTTTGAGCAGCTTTTGTGGCCTGGCTATGGTTACACCGAGTAAATACAATCAGATCTGCACTGCAGTGGAGAAGACGGAGAGTGGAAAAGCTCGCCCGGTATTTTTAACGGTGACATCACGTAGGAGTTGTGCTGTTTATGGCCGCCCCAAATAGTACTTTCACCGTCTCTATCGCTTTGTAGGAAGCAGCCAATCCATTTCATTTTCTTTACTGCACTGACTGCTTTAGATTAGTGGCGTTTCTTGCTGGTTGGAAGAAGGTCATTTGAAAGTCTGCCAGGGAAAGGCTGAACTTTAGTGTTACTCTGTTTAATTTGATTGGAAGTTAACCTTGAAAGAACTCTGGAATTTAGTTCCCGTGTGCCTGTTTCTGTCTTTAAAAAGACTTAAAGTAGCGTCTCTAGCGTCCATTGTATCATATTCCATTAAGGTGTTAATAAAATTAGATTTCCACTTTGTGTGGTATGGATGCAAGTGACCCTTTACTACACTTGCAGTTCTAAAGGTTAATTAAGCAAACGCCTTTTAACATGATAGGATTTCATTTCGGGTGATTCCGACATTCCATGTCTTTTGTTCCCATGGCTACATAAAGGCTTACCTTCAGCTGCCTCTCATCCAGAAATAACTACCTTGTAATTAGGGTTTAAAGCTAGATTTCCTTTGGTTTTGACAGACTAGCAGATCTGACTGGTTCGCTCGCTGCCTTCCGTTCTTCCTGTTTCTCTTTGTAAGTCTTTATCTGACTTTGTCTTTTTCCTCATCAGGTTTCCAAAGGAAGGAGTTCAGGGGAAAGCTGGCGATAGCCATCACAGCCAACTTCATCAACAGGAACACCACTGCAGAGGCCAAAGTGGAAGAGATCAGCGGCGTGGCCTTCATCTTCAACCAGAAGTTTTTCCTTGACCTCAAAGAGGAGACAGGTGGGAGAGGAGCTCAGTCAAACTGACGAAGGAAATATTGAAGGCTTTCATTTTCTATCAACGTGATGCTTCTTTTGTTCCTTTTAGAGGTTGTTTTTTTTTGGTCATTCTAAAACCAGGTGATTTGTTGCAGGTGTCGACCTGGAGAACATTGTGTACTACAGAGACAACACACATTACTTTGTCATGACTGCCAAGAAACAGAGCCTGCTGGACAAGGGAGTCGTCATTAATGTAAGGAGTGTTCAGCCACCCATAGTACCGGCAATTCAGTCATATTATAAAATTAACTTTTAGGATAATCAGACTTATTCTGTTTAAATGTTCAAAATTGTCTGTGTGGGCAGCACTTCAGTGGCTGGTTGCATTCACCATTCATCAGTATCCACCATGTGTGCTGTATACATACATGTGTAAAACTCCCTGAGGGGGACAAATAAATGAAGAAACTAATAGTCCTGGTAAACTGATATTTCTCCATGCTTCTGTTCAACAGGATTACGCAGACACCCAGATGCTGCTGAGCAGTGAAAATGTCAACCAGGAAGCTCTTCTGTGCTACGCCCGAGAGGCCGCTGACTTTGGCACCAACTACCAACTTCCCACGCTGGATTTCGCCATGAACCACTGCGGGCAGCCGGATGTAGCGATGTTCGACTTCACAAACATGTACGCCTCTGAGAATGCTGCTCTGGTCAGGGAGCGATTTGGACACCAGCTGCTGGTGGCACTGGTTGGCGACAGTCTGCTTGAGGTAAACAAGGACCTGTGAAGTCACAATGTTAGCTGGGATTGGCTTAAAGATAGAGAATGGATTTAAAAAAAAAATAAGACAAGGCAATCTTTCAGTCATTATAGTATATATATTTTTTTTGCTGATGAGCACTGTTAAGTGTGACCTCGGTTCAGGATAGTGTAGGAATGTTGGTGAAGAGCTTAACTCTGGCAAAAGAAGCTGTTGCACAATCTTGATCATTACACAAAAACACCAGTCAGAAATATGCAAAACTCAAAATTCTGAGCAAATACAACATGGCTACGGCTGGTTGGGTGTTACGCTTTCACATCGTCTAAGCCTAATCGTGTAATTGTTGTCTCACCCAAAGTACATAACGTACTGCAAGCCCACCTGTAATATGTCCTTTTGCTTGACAAAAAAAACAAGCAACATCAAGAAAATGTATTGCTGCTAACGGACTTTCATTCTTATCTCAATATTTTCCATGGTGTTTCTTTTGCTTTAAACTATGGAAATGTTGTTGTTTTGTCTCCTCACATTTCCATTCATACACATGTAATGTGTGCTCCCACGCAGCCCTTCTGGCCCATGGGGACGGGCTGCGCCAGAGGCTTCCTGGCTGCCTTCGACACGGCCTGGATGGTAAACAGCTGGGCTCAGGGTCGGACAGCGCTGGAAGTGCTGGCAGAGAGGTACACACACTCAATATGTCCTTGAAGTATGCATGTGTTTGTTTGGATATGTATGTAATTAGATACCTTTTTAGAAATAACACTGTGTGTATTGTTCCCTTTTGTTTGTTTTGTTACAGGGAGAGTATTTACAGGCTACTTCCCCAGACAACACCTGAAAACATTGCCAAAAACTTTGATCAGTACACCGTCGACCCTGGGACTCGATACCCCAACCTGAACTCCTCCTGTGTCCGGACACACCAGGTCACACTTCTAACATCCATCCATCCATTGTCACAATGCACACAAGGGCTTGAATGTCTGGATTTTCTAAAGGTTTTCCCTTTCCATTCGTTTTCAGGTGCGTCACTTGTTCATCAGCAAAGAGCTGAATCCCTGCTCTCTGGAACGTGCCGCAACCATACGTCGACCTGTCAATCTCTCCAGACAAAGTAAACATTACAGTATCTGCAATTCAAAGCACAGATTTAGTGCAGATCCTTTTCTATATTATTAAGTAGAAGAAAACCGACTGAACTATTAGGGTTTCCATTCCGGCTTTCAAAGGAAGATCTGCTGCGTGTCCAACAATATTATCTCTCTCTCCAAGTTCAACATTACTTTGCGTCCCTGTTTATTATGACCATTAGATTTTCTAACAAATCATGCATCTCTGTGATTTGAGGTTGCACTATTGCAGTATTTTATTGACAAGTCTAACCAGCCATGTTTCTGTTGTAGAGTCGGACATCAGACCGGCGAGGCTGCTTACATGGTGCCAGAAACAGACCGAGGGCTACAGGAATGTGATGATAACGGACTTGACATCTTCTTGGAAAAGCGGTATCGCTCTGTGCGCCCTCATCCACAGGTTCAAACCCCAGCTGATGTAAGTAACGCTCGGCAGATTAAATCAGCCTGTCACCTGAAACCAGTCAAAATCATCTTATCTCTTTACATAATATGCAGCTTTGCATTCACAAATGAACTAGACGTGACTAAAAAAACACTTTTTTAGTCACGTCTAGTTGTGAGGAATTTCCTGCTCATGGGTGTGTTAACTATGCTCGGCATGAGAGCAACTCTTATCTACGGGTGTTTTTTGCTCCTCACAGCTCTGTGCAGACGTGAATAGCACTTCATACACAGCTGTCCAATAAGCAAACCTCCGCTGGTAGAACACCGTGCAAACAGAGCTGTTTTTAGTGGGCAGCTGTGTACGTTTCCCACGTTCTTTTACCAAGGGCATTGTGTATTCAACTAAAAATATACACTGGTTATTGCAGTATATTTTATTGATTGAAGCATTGGCCTCCATACATATTCTTGAATAATCTTTAATTCTATATATTGTTCCTTTTCGTCTGTTTTTCTGGAGCCATGGAGAAAAAGAACTCTTGTGGGACTTGGTGTACTTTTGCACCCACCTTTGGGAAAAAGTCCTGCCTACAAAACCGAAACTGTGCATCAGGTTCCACTTTTTAGCTTTGGGTAGCCTTGCACGGCATGCAATGCAACTGTAGATTAGTACATTTACAGATCTAATTATATACTCTCAATCTTTAATTACTGCCTTCATACCTCGCCACATGCCACTACAATGTGGTCCTTTAAGTTTCCAGGAACCAGTGGCCCTTTTCCCCTCCCCTCCTCCATATGCATCCCAGTCCGTAGAGCGAGCAGCAGATAATTCAGCAGGTTTATAGAAAAGAAAGAAAAGAGGAAAGAGCGAGCCTCTGTACTCTCAGAATAACACCAACGTCTGTGTGGGCTGCTGCTAGGTTACTCTCCCCCTCTTTACATTATTTCTGATTGTGTGTCTGCACCCGTATTATGCGTATTATCTCACACTCTGCTCAACATCAGTCACCTGACACTTACATGAAATGAAAGTCAAGTGATAATCCTTTTAGAGTCACAGCCTCACACGTCACTGTAACATTCCCGGCCCTTTATTTCAGGGCATTTTAGATGGTTATGAAACCGGAAAGCCTGCATTTTAGAAACGATAAGAAGTGAAAATATGTTAAAATTGAATTAAAGGCATATTATTATGGATGCATGGATGCAGAATGTTCAGTGGAAATGCACACCAGAGAAGAATATTTGTGTAGGCTGGCACAGTCACTATGATAATACTGTACGTATACTCCCATCGTATTCCCATCCTCCTACTCAAGCCACCATTACTGTCTTTTTCCATTAGAGATTTTTACTCCTTAAACGAGGAAGACCACTCTGTCAACCTCCAGCTGGCGTTTGACATCAGCGAGCGTGAATTTGGGATCCGATCATTCACATCTGTGAAGGAGCAGGGTGCCGATCAGGAGCTGGATAAGACCAAGATGATCACCTACCTGTCCAAGTTCTACGAGCTGCTGCGTGGCACACCTTTACCTGCCTCAGGTAGTCTGCTCGTATTGTACACAACCAACAATTCTTTACCCGATTCCATTCGTCTATCATAAAATACATAGAAACAACCACAAAAAACAAGTTCAGTAAAAGAGAATATCAAACTCCACTTGGTGTTCTCTAAAAATGTGTTTTCATGTACAGTCCTGTAAGGTGGCATGAGAGGAATGTCTGGACTTCTGTAGTCTGGTTGCCTTGACAACAGGAAGACCACTGCCCGTCTCCACTGAAAGGATATTTGATGCTTACATACAGTATACTTTGTTGTTCTACTTGATGTCGGCCAGCCGTTCACCTTTCTCTGACATGCATTGAGGCGTGATTGAGGCTTCAAATTTCCTTTGCAACATTGCTCTACACAAATGCTGTAACTCCTTTTTCCCAGATCCCCTTATATGACTTTCCTATTCCACATGTTCATTGCTCCTTGATGTTATCTGAGATTTAGAGTTGTGGAAACTATGAAATGCAGCCACGTGTTCTACTGCAGGTTCCAGAGATGTGGATGAAAACAATGAAGATTATCCGTCTCAGGAAGTCAGAAGCAACAACAAAGGGCTGAACCTTGCTCTGCCCAGGAAACGGGTACCGAAGGTAAAGCTCCACACTGGAATGTTTCAATCTGATGGACTAAATACAAGGAGTTGAGCATCTGTTTGACCGGAAATTCAGTCTTTCCTTGTGCTTCACAGGATGAAGAGACGTCAGACGGTGCAGATCCCATTTACAAAAGGAGGCGGAAACTCTGCAGTTATTTGGAGGAGGTTTGCTTCTTAAACGACCTACTTGTCATTTCGAACTTGACCTGGAGAACAAATCCAGTTGATCTTGATGTAGGATCTTTTCCGTTTCTTCCAACTCTCGCCAGGCCACCAATTTGTCGAGTAATGGCTCTGCAGTGCGAGAGGAGCGAGGGCCCAAGGAGAACAGAGTACGCTCCATGGCCACTCAGTTGCTGGCCAAGTTTGAAAGCACACCCAACTACACCGTCCGGAGAACACAGGTAAAAATACACCTTTTGATACAACTGCGTGCATTCAAGAATATGTAGTTTTTCATTTTATGTCCTGGATTTCAGTCAACATGTGTGAATATACTGCATGTCTGCATTTATTTATCAACGTTTTTTCACGTGACTGCAGTTAAAAAGGGCTGTTGGCCTTCTCTTCCATGGATAATAAATATTGCTCCTGCTGGAGCTCTGATAGCAGTGTGCGGTTTTGGTTTGACAAAACCTTCCTTTTGCTAATTCTACAAAGTATTTTCTTGAATGTTCTCTCTAGTCTTCACTCTTTGCAGCCTTTTTTCTTTCTGTGCCTTGTTATGCACACCTTCCGCACCTCTTCCTAACATTTCTGCAAAATCTATGTCAGACTGTGAGCGGCTTCAAACTCTTGACCTGGCTGAGGGTCAGAACATTAAACCTAAACCTCCTACTGCGATGCAGCTAGTCTGGTTGTGGTCACACAAACTGTACAAATAGTAATCAAGATGATGATACACCCAAAAAGACAAGCAAACATAGGTGTAAAAAAGCATGACGTGAATTCAAAGTTAAATGTAATTACTGGTTGTAGACTCTGAGGTCTTCAATTCTTGACTTAAATTACTGTCAAATAATGACTGGAAAACATTCAAATAGACTTAATATTCATTGATTTTGATGCTGTGCTAGCATAGCTAAGGCCTTACAAAAATTGCAAAAATATTTGAAGATTTGTAGTTAATGTGCTGAAACAAAACAACCGGTGTAGTTTCACCGTTTTTTTGCTTTTTGGGGGTATTTGCTTGAAAAGGAGTGAACCCGCAACTCCCCAAGTGCACTACTGTATTTATCCCTTTCAGTTGGAGGACAGTATCAGAAAAGAAGCGGCACTTTTAGTGCGCTTGCCTTCAAAGACTCTGCCCAAATCTCCCCTCCAGCCAGAATCCCAACACCCATTTTCACTAGTGAAGCTCAGACATGTTGATCGGACGCGTTCTGAGGCGAAGCCCGAGGCTCAGCCGGAGAGTGCAGACCCCCCTGCTTCCTCTTCAGCCTCCCGCCAATCAGCAATCCATTTCATGTCAAGAGTGCTGCGGCGCCTCAGGGAGGTGGACGAACACGTCTCTGAGGTGATCACTATCTGTCTATCAACTGTCTTTAACTCTATCTCTGCTCTTTTCAAGCCTTTGTGTCGTTCCGTGAGCTGATCCCCCCCAAAAAATGCCCCTGAGTGAATGTTGATTATACGTCACGCCCTGATTATACATTTAGGCTTGTGTAATGTGTAGGTAACTGTGTGAAGTCAGCCCCTTAATTATCCAGCCTGACAAAAATGGCAAGAAGGCCTACAGATGTGACCGCGGGCTGAGACAGGCAGACGGGCGGACTGTGTGAGACGGGTAGGCCAGCACCGGGCCACAGTACAGATCGGTAGCCAGGAGGTGTTTAGCGAAGCCTCTGCAGTCTGTGTTAAGCCCGTCCAATAGCTATCTGTCTCTGGCTCCCGACTATACGTGCTGACCCCTTTAGAATCAGCGTAGATAATTCAACTTTGTTCTTAAAGTTTAAAAACAAATCTTACATTTTATGATAATTCTTTTATTTGATATGCTTTGTAGTTTGGCCATCGCTTATTTAAACCCTAAGAAGTCAATACTTTACTATGGGATTTATTAACGCCTTCATCTTTGGGGCCAAACCGACGTACTGATTTCTGTGCCAGGTCTTCGGTGCGAGTCTATCTTGGGTTCCTGCTCGAGTAGAGCATGAGTGACCACATCAAGTGGGGTGTGAAATTAACGTAATAAGGCGGCTTTCGTTCGGCACACCGACGTCATTGTTCTCTGTGGCCTACACATTTAACCGTCAAATCCTGCTTCTTAATGGGGAAGCAGAACAGAAAGGCCTTTCATCATTTACCGCGCACTGCTCATCAAGTGCTTATTACCCAACCTAATTATGTCTACAGAGAGCTCCATGTCTTAGTGGGGGAATGTGTCTCACTGTGCTGAGGAGGCCAAGCTGACGGCTCTTCTTTTCGTCCTGTGTCAACCTGCAGAAAAAAGCTCAGACACAACAGGCTAGAGAATTTCACTCAAAGAGTATAAAGGACAAAGCTGTTCACCTTAGTGGGTTGTTCTCATCAGAAAGCTCAGCTGTACTCGAGGTGACTATCTCCAGCTTGGTGTGTGATGCTGCTCTGGCCTTGTGGCCTGCATTACCTTCACAGTGTGTGTGTGTGTGTGTGTGTGTGTGTGCATGTGGAACACGCACAGCCAATTTTGTCTTTTGTCCTTTATTTAGTACAACACATATATTTTTGGGACACTTTCATTTGTCTAGATGCAAGAGAGATGTTCACAATAATTCAATGATTTATTTCAGTTAAGTTGACCAGTAAAGGGACTTTATTATACTTTGTCAGGCTCGGAGCCAGAGATCTTATCTGATCTTACCGTAGCTTTATCAAGCTGCACCTTCAGCTGCCAAAATGGGCCCATGTTCATGATATACATTTCAGCTCAACATATCTTTATCTTAATAACCTTAAATGCAGCATGCAGAGCATCGAAGCCCAAGATTTACATTTTAACCATATACTTAATTATAATGCACACATTTACGCGATGGGGCTGCTGCTTTGCATAAGAGCGTTTGGTTTTAGCCGTGTGCCCCTTCTGCTTTTCATTACCAGCAGACCTCAAAGCAAGAGAAGTGTGCGTTCTTGTTGTGGCACTTTGTGTGTTCCTTCTCCACTCATCCCACACAGTCTGCTCTAACTCATCAGCCAGATGTCACCACTTAAAATGAAGTAACCACTGCTGTAACCCAGTGTTAGGATTGAATTTGATTCCAGAAAAGCAATTGACATGAGAAACTTTTTTTTATCATTATATTACATGCTTCCCTTAATAATGTTCATCCTTTTGAGTTGAATATTAGTGAGCAGTTGCAAATGATTATGAGGTCGGAGACTTAAAGGTGAAGACAGCAATCACCCTCCCTGAAAATGAGCTCAGACACAGAGACTCATGGACCTGAACTATCACTCATAATATCCCCGAGAGAAGATGTTCTACCCGTGAGGTGAACCTGAAATGAAAGGCGTTCATTAAAACAGCTGTGTAATCCTCATCGTGTCACATTCTCACTCATCCTGCATGCAATACCCGCCGTGTTCCACGAAGCTGAACAATGCATCTTGAACTTCCTTCCTACTTCTGATGAAGGAATATTTGTCAATCAAATCGTGTAGTTAGTTTGCATGTAGCATATTCATGATTGTGCAGTTTATTTATTTTTTAGCTAACTAGGTTTAAGTAATGGTAAATGCTTTTTATTATTATTTATTTGATTTGATTAAAGTCAGTGTTCAAGCTGTTAGTGGTCATCTCTGCCTGGTCTCTATTTCCCAGGGCAGCTCAGTCCGAAGGGCCTTCCCCCCCTCGGGTGACAAGTGTCACTCATGCGAGCGGCGTGTTTATATGGTGGAGAGGGTCTGTGCCGAGGGGCTCTTCTTCCACAGGGAGTGTTTCCGCTGCTCCACCTGCAGCTCCGCCCTGCGTCAGGGAGCACATGCTTTTGACTCGGAACAGGGTACGTGTCTCAACGGGTCTCATCTCTCCTTAGATTTTACTAATTCATCTACTTTGTACTGACACTGTTCTGTAATCCTACAGGAAAATTGTACTGCAAACTGCATTTTGATCAACGGAACAATGGAACAAACTCACAGAGGACCTTTTCCCCGCGTTCAGTGAGTACACTGGCCTTCTGAAAGTTTCCATCTTACTCTAGCAATATTTACTCAGAGGCGTAAAACTGCCCCTGTCGTCTGTCTTAGAATCGTTCTGCAGCTGGAGCTCAGGAGCAATGTGCGGACGATGGACCGAGCTCGGAGTCCGGCGGCACGGCGGACCTGCCGAGTGGACCCTCAGCAGGTATCTTCAGCTCGTTCATGAGGAAACACCTGAGCAGGCCCCTGGGTGTGATCCGCGCTGTGTGCAACGCCCCCTGCTATCTGTCCCGCCGTGTGCGCGGTACCGCGCGGGCCCTCGCCGGCCACCTGCGGCACAATGGCCAAGATTACGCGTCCCTGTATGAGCTCCTGAGCGTAGGTCTGCCCCTGCTGCTCGTACTGCAAGAGGTATTGCTGCAGATGAACACAGAGGCTGTGCCTGACGGGCCCAGCGCTCTGCAGCCTCTCCTGCTGTTGCTGCAGGAGCATATAGGGCAAAGGCTCATCTAGACGCTCAGCAGACTCCAATGCCGTTAAATACGTGACTGAGACATTAGCAGGAGTTTTCTGGTCATGATGCTATTTGTTGCCTTGCACAAGCACCTTTTGTATTGTTTACTTTCCTTTTTTTTTTTTGGATGATACGGCTCTGTGTCTGGGACGTACTTGTGTATCAAAGGAGAGACACTGCAGGTTGCTCTTGCAGCTTTTTTTGCTAATTTCTACAGGGGTTAAGCGTCACCAAACATTTTTGCAGTCGGTTTGATGTGGAAACTCTACATAATTTGCACAGTTAGAATAAGGTAAAAACTAATAGATTTCAATGTAGTTAGAATGAAAATAAAACGGCCGGTGTAGTTCATACTGATGGAATCCTATTTGCTGTAAAACGTTTTACAAACTCTTGGAAAATTGATCTTGCAGTTAAAATTTCTTGACCGACTAACTTGATGCACTTTATCTGCCTCGTTGGCGCAGCAGTAAACTGCCACATTGAAAAGCGGGTTCATGAGTTAACAGTGACCACAGGACTGGTTTTCTATTGACTATGCATATGTGCTCTTGTCATGTGCTTTTTACTTTACTTTGAGTGTTACTATGGACACGACAACCGTTCTCTCAATTATTGTTTTTATACACTTACCATTCGGTTTAATTTTATGAGCAGTTTTTAGTTTTAGATTCCTGAATGGTTAACACCAAAGAATCTGTCTGGTGAGTTGCTCTCTCAGTATTAAGATTAATTTGCTGCCATCTACTGTTGACGTTTAGAAAAACTATGAAAACAAAATGAGATGCGCCCCTCCCCCATTTTCTTCTATTTTTACCTCTCTCTGTATAACAATACAGCCAATTTAGTTTTTCTGATCTACTGTAGACAATAGAAGCAGGTGAGCATGCTGTTATGTGTTTGGATTAGCTTACTTCTCTTCGCCTTATTTGTAAAGTATGTTATTGCCTCTCAGACTGGAAGCTACACGATTGCTTCTTATTCAGATACACTAATCTTATTCAACGATGCTTGTGACGCACTCAATCCTCATGGGTTTGGTTTATGAAATATTTTGAAAATAATATTGTCATTATTTTATGTGCTGGATATTATTTTGATGATTTGTTGTCAGCTACAAAATATTTAATCTTGATTTATCCAATCTGCTGCAGTTGATATACTCTGGTTGACAGTGTTATAAGATACCAAAGAACTACACACACTGACTAGACTTGTGTAATATTTACTTGATACATTTGTGGGAAGACAATCAACACAGCATGTGTAATGGTGTCAACAGACCAATATTGTTTTCATTTTGAATGCCAGTATTTTACTTTATTTTCATAAAGTTTTTCTACTTCCAGCCGTTATTTGTGTCTGTATGTTCTCTGTGTTTTAGATCTGTTTTCTCTTTTCCTCTTGTTCAGCTGAAGCCTTTTATGAGTGTGAGCCAGCTTGATGACTGGGAGAAATCACATTTTAAAGGTGATCACCTGCATGGTCACGTCGCAATGTGTCATACTTGTGATGTGGCTGGAGATACTGACGATACGTAACTGACCAAACGTTTTGACGTAACTCAACTAATGAGCGGCCTCAGCGTTTGTTATTCATCCTTCGGCTGTTTTGGGAATGGTACTAACTAAGCTTGTTTCAAAACCCCTAAATTGCTGTATACATCTGCTTTTCTAGTGGTTCCAATAGTATGAACACTGAGATTAATGTCTGATTTGAGAAATAGTACTAACATGTAAAGATACCAACAAACGTCCAATCAGGCTTCATTTTTTCTCTTTTTGCTCTTAAGGTTTCTTCTCAACTTTTTCAGATGAAAATCAGTTCTATTAGTATTTACCAATCGTTAAAAGGATGCACAAAGGTGCATTCTCTCTTAGAGCTTTTGATTGCATCAATGGAGTTGTCACGGTTTTGCAGATGTTTGCAGTTTTATGTCTGAGAACTTCCAATGTCCACTTTTACAGACCACTGTTTCCAGGTGAGTAATAATATTTTCCTAAATTTGTAACCAACAAATTCTCTTCTGCTCTTTAGAGAGCTCAATCAAATGTCATTTTGTTCAGGTTAATTGACATTTATAACCATTAGATCTTAAATGGAGTTTTCCTCTGTTCATGAGAATACACATTACAATGATCCCTCTTTACAACTTTTAAATAAACGCAAAACAAAGTTGTTCACGGTTCTGTTAAACTCACCTTGCATGGAGTGTGAAACCGTTTCCTGGTTTAAAAAATATATGTTTTTAATATTTTCATGATGATCTGATAACTGCAATTGATGTTTTTATTGAGCTGTTCATACAGCAACATTTATAGAAATGTGCATTGATCTCTGTGACTATGTTTTCACCTCACAACTACCTGGTTTATAAAATCCATTAGTTGCATTTCTGTGCACCCTGATTTCAAATGAAAGGTAGGTAAGTACTGTGATGGAAACTACTCAGGGATGCCCTTCACGACTCCATTGACTTAAGAAACTGCTGTAAGACATGATTCTACTTAATCAAAAACGTCCTTGACTCTTTCAACAACAGTTTAGATTTGGTTGATACTTCTATTCTTCCTTTGCTCTTTGAGAAAATTGTGAAGGGTACTTTTTGAAGACTTTTTGTCCACCATTTATCATTTCCACCATGACTTCTGCTCCCACTACTGTTATTATGATGAGAATACATTCTACCGTATTTTGAAAAGTGTGGAAAAGTGAAAACATTAAATAGAGGCCCCACTTTCTTTATCCGTTACTACTACTGGCGTACAGTCATATAGTATCGAAGTAGCCGTTTATGCACCTGAAGCTCTCCTCTAAACTAACACATACAGCTTTGTCGATGAATTATTCTCTACATGCCGTGTTGTTTCTCTGTCAACTCAAAATTCATGAATAATTTGTGAGCATCTCTTTCTCTGTTACTCTTCTAATGCACCCATTTCCATTACATCCCCCCAACAAAATAAAAGCTAGCTCTTTAGATGGTACATTAAGGCTTTTTGGTCCCTAAAAGCGTGTTTTAATATCACATGATGTGACCGAGCATAACTTTTTAATTATATGTCTTGTGTGCATATTGCAATGTATCAGTGAATCTCAACATCTGAAAATAGGTAAACACAAATCATCAGGTTCCTACACAGTAAAGCCGATGAGCTCTTCATGAATATATATACTCCATTTTCATTTTTAATGAAATGAAGTCAAAGACTGATGCAGACTGATTACTGACATCAGCTGCCACAACAATGGATTAAAAATGATTTTCTTTGTGAATTTACAGTACTGTTAGTGGTGAACATAACACCTCAAAGATCCTTAACAGTTCCAGGGTACACACAGAATACACATCTTAAATTGTAAGGAGCAGTCAAGGGAGTGCACGTCTAGTGATAAACATTACAATGATTGTTTCTTGTTGTTTTTCATCCAGAAGCTACTACACAAGTGAGCTGTCACTTCACCCACAGATGACTGAGATTTAAGGAATTCCTATAATTCTTCATGCAGTCATGATGTCTACACTTGTAATTAATGCTGACTTCCTGAACCTTTGTAAAATATATGTTCTTGTTTTGTAGAGTGATTCCTGGATTTTGTCCCACCGTATTTCCCCAATAAATGTTTATTGCTATCTGACTTTTTCAATTATGTTAAGCTGGTTCATTCCCATCGCCTACAATCTTCAATGTGAGTGTCTATAAAACGACAAAAAAAAACGATTGAACATTTTTATCTGTACAAACCTGTTTCTGTCTTGTTAACCAAATGCTTTTTGTAGAGTAATTCTTAAAATAAAAGATCCCATAGAAAAGTAAAGTCTTTCTTACTGAGCTTGATCAACAAAAGGAATGAATACCACCACATCTCTTTCCAGCAGAAATTGACCTCTGCATCTCTGAATACCCGGACTAAAACCTGATTGATGAAGCACACAATAAAAGAGAACATCTCTGTGTCCTCTTTAGTCTTGAAAGTCTAACATTTTAAAAGTAAATTCCTGTGCCGTGTCATGTTAGGAGCTCTTGAGGAATGCACTTGGAGCTGGAAGGGCTATGCCTCTATTGACTAGAGGAAATCGCTCAGCACAAAAGACTATTCTAAGTGTTGCACAATGGTACTTCAGAGTGTGAACTAAAATAAGTCCTTGACTCTATGAAATGACTTCATGCTGGGAATAAAAATCATTATTGTCTCGCTTGGTTAAATTAACTTTTAAGTTTTTAAGAAGCAAAGAGTGGAAAGACCAACAATTGAACTGATAATTTGATGGCAGCACTTATAAGAGGAGAGCATTTAGCTGGGTGGCCTCGTGTATGTTGAGTAGTCTGCGTGTTACTTCCCACACAGTATTCATGAATGGGTCATTTAAAGGGCAGATTTGTATAAAGAGATCCAGATTGAAAATATTGAAATGGAATATGTGAGTTTTCCTTTGTCTAATTCTAAAACATGAATCTAAAGTCTAATATATTTCATAATATATTACGTTTTGTGTGTCTTATTTTCTTCGGAAACTGTTCTTATACTCACTTTCTTTGTAAATTAGTATCTTGACCTCACCACAAAGCTATTCAGTTTTCATTTTTTTTCTCAAGCTAGATTAGTTTAGAGGGCGGCACGGTGGCGTGGTGGTTAGCACTGTCGCCTCACAGCAAGAAGGTCCTGGGTTCGATTCCACCCAGTGGCCTTTCTGTGTGGAGTCTGCATGTTCTCCCCGTGTCTGCGTGGGTTCTCTCCGGGTTCTCCGGCTTCCTCCCACAGTCCAAAGACATGCTCTGGAGATCAGGTTAATTGAGGACTTTAAATTGCCCATAGATGTGTGAATGTGAGTGTGAATGATTGTATGTCTCTGTGTGGCCCTGCGATTGGCTGGCGACCAATCCAGGGTGTACCCTGTCTATCGCCCGAAGTTGGCTGGGATGGACTCCAGCCCCCCCCGCGACCCTGTGTGCAGGATAAGCGGTTTGACAATGGATGGATGGATGGATTAGTTTAGGTGTCATGCGGTCAAAAGTGTTGAAAATTAAATTGAATTAAAACAGATTTTTTGTTTACTTAAATATTTAATTGGGTACTGCCAACATGTACAGCATTTGATCATCCGACTGTGTACTTAAACATAGACACAATACGTTCACACAAGAAGTCTACGTCCTACACTTGAACTAAAGCTTTTTTCTGTCACTTTGAGGTTCTGAAATATGAGAAATGGAAAAATGGGGAATTTGCCAGCAAACAGATTATCTTTCTCTTAATTGAAGAGAGCCAGGTGTTATCCAGTTAAAGCTTCACTTAGTGCGCTGTGACCAGAATGTGTTAACCACCATTTCTGTGTAACTGACATTAATGAGACAGTTATATTGCTTTATTTCCCCTCATCCAGCAGATGAAGGCCGGTCCACTTTATCATTGTCCTGTATTTGCTACGTGAGACCTAGAGGTCACTGTTCAGCAATAGATGTGTGGTCTCGTGCCACGTTTTTAAAACAGCTATGATTGATACTGTATATTAACCACGTTAAGGGATGAACCTGGAGTAAATCATCAGCTGAATCTGTGTTTGGCTTCAGTTCATAGAGAGTTTCTTTAAGCTACTGCACGTAAATAGGATTTCCTTTTCAAATGTGTTATTTGCAGGGATGTGCACAGCCCCCTCAGGTAACGAAGTTGCTTGCAGAATAGGTTCAGAAGGCTGCCCTTGTGTATGCCCACCTGTGAAAGCTGATTGGTGGAAGAAACACAATCGAATGGAGCAACTTGGATGGCCAACATCCCGTTCTAACAGACTAACGGACATTGAGGCGCTCCGACTATCTCTGATTGAGCGCTCGGTGGTGGACATTTTGAGCCTTTTGTGAACTCTTCACAGCCATATTACATTTACACTAAGATGGAACAAAAAAAACCCGGATGGAATCAGAGCATATTTACCTTTTTGTCATCAAATATTTCATTTTATATGTCATTGGAGCTCTTTTGACCAAAAGCTATAAAACATTTACTTGAAATAACCTCTTGAGGAAAGAGCCTGGAAGACGTTCAAATCAGGGAGTAAAAAGTATAAACTAATTATAAACAATTGCACATAATGTTTTTGATGTTGTCATGGTGACATGGTATAAAGCGGTCCCATTTGTATTTTCACCATTTCAAGCCCTCACAGACTCGCACACTCAACCACTTACCGGTTGACATCAATTGCAACCCTGAGGGTTTAATGTTTAGAGGTTTGGGGCAGACTTTGGGGTTTGGTCTGGTACAACACAGCTTATGAAAGAAAAATAGGCGAAGACAAAAAAAACACAAAGACGTGGTAGGAAGTGGTGGTACCACAGATCACAAGAAGCAGCGAATTTCACAATAAAACAGGAAAAAACTAAATCAAAACCAAGATCGGAATAGTAACACATATTTTTTTAAATAATAAGTAAAAGGTTTTTATTTGAGAGAATATTTATAAGATTCCGTACTAAGATAGATATGTAAACGGTTTCACATTAGAATTCATTCATTTAGAATTCACTCATTTTGTGTCTTCGCAAATCTGTCCCATCAAATCCCATCAAACCTACAAAATTAACTCAGTTAATACCAATCAATTAACAAATTAATAAGCTGAGGTTCACTAAATATTAATTTTTTTTGAGAGAATGTCATTAGAAGGCTCAAACAAATTGTGTTATTGTCAAACAGTCCCTGTATTTTGTTTTGTATGGATCACTTTTGGACTGCCATCTGTTTACTGACCTCTTGGGACTTTTTCATCTCTTTTTTAGCATAATATCGCCTGCCTTAAATGCAGAAAAAGCAGAATAAAAAACAAGATGTACGGTAACAATGGTTAGAAGCAATCAGAGCCTGAAATTGGGTTGAAATTGCAGAAGCTTTTAAAGTTGATGGAAAAAAAGCTGAGAGGAAATTAATATGAAAATATATGTCCTTACTTTTACACAAATTGTCCTATAAAAAGTCAAACAATAAACGGAGGAGACAGTAGCTTGGCTGCTGGAGTAAATTATCTATATTTTCTTTGAATAATTACATCCATCCATCCATCGTCAAACCACTTATCCTGCACACAGGGTCGCGGGGGGGGCTGGGGTCCATCCCAGCCAACTTCGGGCGATAGACAGGGTACATCCTGGATTGGTTGCCAGCCAATCGCAGGGCTACACAGAGACACACAACCATTCACACTCACATTCACACATCTACGGGCAATTTAAAGTCCCCAATTAACCTGATCCCCAGAGCATGTCTTTGGACTGTGGGAGGAAGCCGGAGAACCCGGAGAGAACCCACGCAGACACGGGGAGAACATGCAGACTCCACACAGAAAGGCCACTGGGCGGAATCGAACCCAGGACCTTCTTGCTGTGAGGCAACAGTGCTAACCACCACGCCACCGTGTGAATAATTACATTCCCGTTTAAATCAAAGGTCAAATAATAAGAAAGTGATTTTTACTCCCAATACTTTTGCAGTATTGCTGTTAAGAAGGATTTATAAAGTAATATATAAATGAACAAACTAATGCTGCTATATGACATGAAGGCAAACATGTTTAAAAACAAATGACTCCACATATAACAGAGCATCACAGAAGAGCTGATAGACATGCTCAAGGTTTCATTTTGGTAAATGTAAGAAAAGGACTAACAATAGCCGATGTCATTCTACATCTTATAACAAACCACTCAGAGCCTATCGGACCATCGCACACTAAATAACAGAACACAGAGCAGTTGAGGCCCTGCGGGACGAACCAAGTACACAACGGGTAGACTTCAGTGTGGGGACTCACTGTGTCAACAACATGGGAAGCTTCTTAAAAAGAGAAGGCTCCAATTCTAGTAGCTCTCATAAAATTTCTGCTGGAAGGTAAAAGTCTGCACCTCTTCTCATCTACAGTTGATCTTTCATCCACTAGAGTTATTTTGCTTTAGTAGAAATTAGACAACCCAACAATATATAGTGATGTTAGTTAGTAATGGAATACACAAAAAAAATATGAAAACCAATTTCCAGGAAAATGGAAATGTTTTTTTGGGAAAGCCAGAAATAAAAAGTACTAAAATGTTTTCATCAATTGATTCAATTTTAGTATAAATATCTATTTTTCACTAAATTTTTAACTAAATCTTAATTTATTACTTATGGACGTTAGCCTATTCTCTGACAATCTCTTGGTATTGGCATTACAAACGTTATCCCTTTAAATGTGCAAATAGGCCACCAAGTATTCAATAATGTTTTTTTTAAGTCCTCAGAGAACGTTTTTATAAACTGAAAGAATGTTTTTTGCCTGAGATCCTTGAACAATTGTAGGGTGCCTCTTCTGAATTTAACTGGTGCTCGCAGCATATTATAAGGATTTTTAAATAAAGCAAATTGAAAGGTTTTCACAACCTTCACATCCAAAGTCCTTCAAATTGTCAGTTTTACCTCCAAATTTCCATTAAGCTGTTGAACTTGAATAAAACCCATTTCCTTAAATCACTGTTAATTTAAAAGGTATGTAATCCCATAGTTTAGGATTTAAAGTAATGATTTAATTGTTTTCATAAACTATCTTGCTTTAGAGTTTTCTTTACATATATGTTTTTGTGATTCAGGTAAAGGGAGTTCAATTCAAA